TGTTCCTCACTTGACTGGTCTGACTGCATGTCTCATGATAGGCAGTGTTTGTTTAACACGGTCAAGCTAAACAGCACCATTCAGCTATGCAGTTTCTGGAGACATTGCAGTGGGATTGGTCTATTTTGTGGGTTGGGCGGTGGTCAGGGGCAGAGGTCCTGTGGTCCAACCTCCGGTTGACAAATCTACCTTTGGATTGTAAATGGTAAGTGGATTAGTTCTTTTCTACTCTACTGGAGTACTCAAAATGTTTTATCCCATTTACCCATTTAAATGGCCTGTAAACGGTAAATGGCCTGTATTTGTATAGCGCTTTTACTAGTCCCTAAGGACCCCAAAGCGCTTTACACAACCAGTCATCCACCCATTCATACACACATTCACACACTGGTGATGGCAAGCTACATTGTAGCCACAGTCACCCTGGGGCTACAATGTTATACGAACACTTGCCCAAGGATACATTGGCATGCAGACTAGAACAGCCAACCTTCCAATTAGTGGACGACCTGCCAAATCTCCTGAGCTACAGCCAGCCTTCAAATTGGTTTGGAAAAAATGATCCAGGCCATTATGCAGCCGATGCTGGTGCATCTACTCCAGCTCAAAGGGAAAGCCACTGTTGGGTCTGTGATAGAATCCTAGGCCCATGCCCTTCCCACAAACAGGATGATGGAGGCATGGAGTATGACATCACGTATCTGGTGGAAGAAGTAAAGAATCTAAAGTGCCTCTGATCTGTCCATCGCTGGCAGGGAAGGGATCTGAGCTGGTGATTGAGACTGAGAAATACTGGCTAGATATAACTGAGCTTACCTCAACAGCTTGGGATCTGGAACCTCCCCCTGCCCACCCCTTTTCACCAAGTGCAACTCCAGTCAGCTGAGTTTCTTGGTCATACACAGAAGTAAAGGTAAGTAGTATTGGTACTAGCGATGACAGGAGGACAGAAACTTCAGTCTTTCTGTACTTTCCTGAAGTGATATAGTTCACCTTGCTTGTGGTTATCTGCTGTTAGAGTTAAACTTGTAGCTCCAATCTGCAGTACACTGGCATTACATGAAAATGGGTCAGGGGTAATGTAGTGAATAATATATGTTATGGACCCATATGCTTTCTCTGTAGCATCTGAAAAGATATGAATGCTGTGTGTGGAGTCTGACAGGTCTGGGATGCACATAACATCTTCGAAGAGGGAGAGCATGGAGCAGTTTAAGTTCACTCTCCCAGGTGTGCTACAGCTGGAGCAAGTCGTGTGGCAGGTTTGAGCCATTTCGCTCTTCTCTAGCTCCAGAGATTCTTCACCAGTGTTTAAGCCACGTTTTATTTAAACATTTACTTTTTTTTATTTAAGCCAGAGCAGTGTAGGGAATAAGCATGCCAAAAAGATGGTATTGTCTGGGTAGGACCCAATTGGTGTTGTGCATAGTGAACTCAGTGTGCTCTGCATGACTTGATAGTTCATGATGACAGGCTTACAATGATACTGAAACCCTATACTCCGTTTTGGTGTCTCTGCCCCATCAGGTGATAGCTAGATCTCACTGCTCTCCAATATTTTCTGCACCAAAGAGTAAAAAAGTGAAATGTGGATTATTAAACATTAGGTGTCTCTCTTCCAAGTCTCTGTTAATACATGACTTAATAATTGATCAACAAATCAATTTATTGTGCTTTACAGAAACCTGGTTAGAGCAGGATGATTATATTAGTTTAAATGAATCAACACCCCCGAGTCATTCTAACTATCAGAAACCTCGAAGCACAGGCTGAGGGGGCGGTGTGGCAGCAATTTTCCACACCATCCTATTAATCAGCCAAAGCCCAAGACAGACTTTTAATTTGTTTGAAAGCCCGATGCTTAGTCTTGTCTACCCCAGCTGTAAAACTCAAAAGCCAGTCTTATTTGTTATCATCTATCGTCCACCTGGGCCTTACACAGAGTTTCTGTCTGTTCTTCCTTTTAGCATCTACATCCATGTAGATGCTAAAAATGACAGCCTCAACACAGCATTTAATCTGTTATTAGACTCAATTGGTTTCTCTCAAAATGTAAAAGAACCCACCCACCACTTTAATCACACTCTAGATCTTGTTTTAACATATGGCATAGAAACTGAACATTTAACAGTGTTTCCCGAGAAGCCACTCTTGTTGGATAATTTTCTGATTACATTTAAATTTACAATAATTGATTACACAGCAGTGGAGAGTAGACTTTATCACAGTAGATGTCTTTCTGAAAGCGCTGTAACTAAGTTTAAGAATATAATCCACCCACTGTTATCATCGTCAATGCTCTGTACCAACACAGAGCAGAGCAGCTACCCGAATGCTACTCCAACAGAGGTCGATTATCTTGTTAATAATAATTTTACCTCCTCACCACGTATGACTCTGGATACTGTAGCTCCTGTGAAAAATGCAGCTTCAAATCAGAAGTACCTGACTCCGTGGTATAATTCTCAAACACATAGCTTAAAGCAGATAACTTGTAAGCTGGAGAGGAAATGACATGTCACACATTTAGAAGATCATCATTTAGCCTGGAGAAATAGCTTGTTGCTTTATAAGAAAGTCCTCCGCAAAGCCAGAACATCTTACTATTCATCATTGATTGAAGAAAATAAGAACGACCCCAGGTTTCTCTTCAGCGCTATAGCCAGGCTGACAAAAGTAAGAGCACTGTTGAATCAACCATTTAATATTAACTAGTAATGACTTCATGAACTTCTTCACAACTAAAATTTTAACCATTAGAGAAAAAATTACTCATAATCATTTCACAGATGTAATATTATCTACAGCTACTTTCATGAATTGATATTCATTTAGACTCTTTTTCTCCAATTGATCTTTCTGAGTTAACTTCAATAATTACTTCCTCCAAACCATCAACGTGTCTTTTAGACCCCATTCCTACAAAACTGCTCAAAGAAGTCCTGCCAATCTTAAATATGATCAACCTATCTCTAATAATCAGCAAAGCACCACAGGCCTTCAAGCTGGCTGTAGTTAAACTGTTACTTAAAAAGCCATCTCTAGCCATCTCTTAGCTAATTATAGGCCAATCTCTAACCTTCCTTTCATATAAAAAACCATTGAAGAAGTAGTTGTCAAACAGCTAACAGATCATCTGCAGCGGAATGGCTTATTTGAAGAGTTTCAGTCAGGTGTCAGAGCTCATCACAGCACAGAAACAGCTTTAGTGAAGGTTACAAATCATCTTCTTATGGCCTCTGACAGTGGACTCATCTCAGTCCTGCTAGACCTCAGTGCAGCATTCAATACTGTCGACCATAATATTCTATTAGAGCGATTAGAGCATGCTGTACATGTTACAGGTACTGCACTGCAGTGGTTTGTATCATATCTATCTAGTAGACTCCAATTTGTTCATGTAAATGTTGAGTCCTCTTCACACACTGAGGTTAATTATGGAGTTCCACAGGGTTCAGTGCTAGGACCAATTCTGTTTACATTATACATCCTTCCTTTAGGCAGTATCATCAGAAGACATAGCATAGATTTTCACTGCTATGCTGATGACACACAACTCTATCTATCTATGAAGCCAGATAACACACACCAATTAGTTAAACTGCAGAAATGTCTTAAAGACATAAAGACCTGGATGGCCGCTAACTTTCTGCTCCTTAATTCAGATAAAACTGAGGTTATTGTACTCGGCCCTGAAAATCTTAGAAATATGGTATCTAACCAGATTCTTACTGTGGATGACATTACCTTGACCTCCAGTAACACTGTGAGGCACCTTGGAGTCATTTTTGACCAGGACATGTCCTTCAATGCACATTCTTTCTTCCATTTGGGTAACATCTCTAAAATTAGAAATACCCTGTCTCAGAGTGATGCTGAAAAACTAGTTCATGCATTTATTAATTCTTGGCTGGACTAATGTAATTCAGGATGTTAATTATTAATGTTAATATGAATTTTCACAATTGTAAATTTGTTGCTTTTTTGCTATTATAGTTTTTCAGCTTAATTATAGCATCCTTCACTTGCATTAACTCTTTGGGCCTAAAGAGTTCATGTTAAAAACTATGAAATGCAAGATCAGCTTTTGGAATCAACTCCAGATCTTTTATATGAATTGATCACACAATAACAAGGGAACAGGGATCATCAGGCTAGCAAACTGCTCTTCGTGCAGTCATTCCATTAATTTTGACCCTATCATAACTTTATCCTAAACTAGTCACACTTTTTCACACATCTTGCTTGTTTGATTTGAAATCATCCGTTGTGCTGTACAGGGGGAAAAAAATACAAAACAAACAAAGAAAACTCTTATGTACCTGTGTTTGCTGTTTGGTCAAATGTGTCTGCCTAACCAGCCTGGATATTTATTACTCAATACTGAAACTGTGATGACTTCATATTTGCCAGTGGAATGCCTTCAACAAGTGTTGTGTTTGCATAATAATTCCTTTTATGAACTTCTTCATTTATGCGCCCAACAAATCTTGCGCAATTCAAGCTACAAAAACCATTCAGTTATCATCCCACCCAGCAAGTGTTAATAGAAAAACTACTCAGCTACTAAAGACTGAAAGGAAACATTTTCAAACAAAAAAACGAAACTGAAATGTGTAGTCTATATACATTTTAATTTCAATTCAATTTTATTTATACAGACTTTTATTTAGTTACTGTGTTATGTGAAATATGTAAAGTTTCAACAAAATAACTATCAGAGAATGTTTTTCCCTAATGCCCCACCTTCATAACCATGTCAGGAACATTCCCTGAAGGTTCCTGTTGCTGGGAAGCCTTTTGTGTCATTGATGTATTTTTATATTCAAATGCCTAAATGATCAACAATATTATGTGACTGTGCCGTTACAGAATTTAAGAGAGAATTTAGACACAATCATTCATACTCAGAGGTATTCTTGTAGGCCTCCATCTCAAACACACTTTATTTTGTAAGGTGTCACCGGAAGTTCTTTTCCTTTCCCCTGCTGTGGGCTCATACGGCTGCTGTGTTTCAATAACGTCACAGCGGTGCATGTTGACTGTGTGGTCCAGGTTGTAGCGATAGAGCCTTGGGCACACACAGCTAAGGCTTTCCTTCCGAGGAAGGTGAAGCTGCGCACGCTCAGTCGTGCGTGTGTGCGTGTGCAGTCTCAGATTCTGAAGCGCTATTCTGACTCCAAGGCGTCTACGTTGATGACGTAAGAGTGGTTATTTGTTCGGAACCAGCGTAGGAATGGGCATCGTGTAGAGTCATGAGCGTGCCGCTCGGGAGGAACGGGTTAGTCGGGCTGGCTGTCGGGGCCACGGCCGGTTTGGGCTTGATTGCCTTTTTAGTTTACAGGCAGATCAGCAGGAGGAGGTCCCAGAGCCTTGTGCTGGAGACACGGCCAGCGGCCCGGCTATTCATCGGGGAGGATGGAGGAGCGCTGCTGGGGGACACACTGGATGCCCAGGGTAGGCTGGCACTGACCTCAACTGCCCAGGATAACCATGAGCTACATGGTTGCCATGGATTCAATTTAACATGGCAACGTCACTGAATATTTAGTATCACGTCTTTCTTATCGCGGTGATGGCCAGGCTAGTGTTTGTTCCAGAAAGGGACGTCTCCATTTTTCAGGATGCTCTATGTGTAGGACCTTTAAGGAGACTGCAGTCAACAGGTTTTCTGATATATATATATATATATATATATATATATATATATATTATATATATTATATATATATATATATTTATTTATTTGTGATGGGAATGTTCTTTCTGGCTCAGAATGGCCTGATGTCATTCATGAGAGTGGATATGTTGGATACACTGTAAGAACTCATTTACAATAGTTTAAAGAAAGGCAACCGTTTCCGGCCAAACACTTTTGGATATGACTTTTGGACTTGAGACTGGCTTTTATTTCCATGTATTCAAGTGTAAAACAAATCATAGCACGTCTCCTTTTCAGACTGGCATTTTAAAAATAAGATTTACATTATTGTTATAAACTTATTAATAGGTTAACTGTACCTGTATATTAAGTTGTAATGCCTTTTGTGCTGACTAAAATCTCCCAGTGGAGGTATTCCAGTTAGCCCAGGCCACAAGTATCATTGTCACTGCAACCTGGAGGCAGGTTGGAGATATGGGTACAGTACTTATTAAATTGAAACAAGTAACTCCTGTCTCCGTCTTCAGAGATGGAGGCCCAGCAGCAGGCTCTGGCAGCAGTGGAGGCTGTGGTTCAGGGACTTTCCCCAGAACAGCAACTGGAGCTGAGAAACCAGCTGGACCAAGTGCTAAACTGCGTGGCGTCTCTACGTTCAGAGGTAGCTGAGCTCAGGGGAGGTCTACAGGACATTGCCTGGCAGATCATTCAGGATGTCAAGTGAGTTGAACTATGGTGAGCTACATAGAATCTGTCCTGCAGTACTGTGCAGAGGTCTTGTGTCGCCCCTCAGTTCTTTACTGGGCCATAGTCAGTATTTGGTGTGAGCACCTTTATTCTTCAGCTGAGGCAGCTTTCTGTCATCTCTTTAAGTAGTCTTCAGGAACAGCACTCCTAGCTTCCTGAAGGACAAAGCTCTTCTTTGTGTGGATGATTCCACGTTGCTTCAATAATATTGAGGTAGGGCTCTGGGGAGGCCCATCCATGACTGATAGTTCTCCACTGCATGTTTTTGTATCCAAGTCTGCTTTTACTGCATTATCAGTGTGTTTCCAAGCAGACACTTTCAGATGACACTGGATCAAGAATCCAAATCCTCCATCTACTAACTGTTTAGTGTCTTTCACGCTGTGTTATCTTTGATATTTTTCATCGATTTGAGTAAAGTAATGGAACAAATAATGTGTTTTTGTTTTTTGCATCAAACTTGGTTCTTTGCTAAGTCATCTGTACATGTGAGACAACACTGGTTCATCCCTCAAGTTAGGTTTCTTTTTATGCTTTAATGATTCATATTTCAGAGTACAGAAGCTTAACAAACAAATAAACAGGATCTGCAAAGCTGGAGAACAAGACTGCTTTAAAAAAGACAAAGTCTGGAAGTCAAATGTATTGAAATGAGGACCCTGGAAATCTTCAGTCTTAGTAAACACTGTTCCAAAGTTTGTGTCTTGATGCATGCACAATCATCCAGGTATGTAAATCCCAAAAGGTGGATTCTGTTCAGCTGTGGGTCACGTTTTCAGTGGGAGAAACGTCTCGTCACTCACTGTTTATAAGGTTGGAAACCTGCACTCAGCTGAGACTGGGAACGCCACGTGCAGGTGAACAGAATCAACCCAAAGTTTGCGTTTTGCTCGTTCCAGTTGGATTTCCCATCTGCACAAATACATATGTGGGTTTCAGTTTCAAAAAAGTAATTTAGGTGCATCACATTGTTAAGTGTGCATATCAGGGGGCTGAGTGCTTATATGAGAACTGTTTGGGCTGTTTGGGTAATGATCCTCCTCCCATTCAGAAAGGGAGTGGAGGACAGCCAGCGTGTACGGCGGCGGCGTCATGCGGTCCACAGAGAGCGTGCCGACTCGTCCAGCTCTACCTACTTCACTGCCAGCCAGGGCATGGCCAGCACCTGTGGAGAGACCAGTGAAGGGGGGTATGTCATTGGCTCAGCACAGTATGCTTTACTCACTTTTGATAAATTCTTACATTATGCGTCAGGTGTTTTGTACACAGACCTTCATTGGGAGCAGCAGGATATTTCCCAGAGGCCTGTGTGAACTTTGATTTTGATCAGCAAGTAGTTTATGGGCATCGGGCATGACTGTTTCAACTACAGACACTGTGCTCTCTTCCTGTCTCTGCACAGCAAAGATCCATAGATATGCTGTCTCTCTGCAAGGCAGGCAGTGTGAACTAGGTAACATAAGTCACATGACAAGAAAACAGAAACCCTTCAGTCTGAAAACACTAAGAAGCTCACTGTGTTTCAGTCCCTGTTTGAAAAGGAAATGATATATGTTCTGCTTGTTTTCACTCTATTTGAACATTATTAAGGTAAAGGCTCATTATTTTTATTTATGTGCGTGTTAATGGATTTTCACCTGGGAGCCATAGCCTGGTTACAGACATGCCTGTAGACATCTGAAGGTGTAAGAAGGATCTTAAATGATGGTTAATGTAGTTAGCAGCTTACCATGAAGACGGCTCTCAGCTTTACACCAGACTCTGTTCAGTGAAAGGACTTGAAAGAGGATAGCTGAATAAGATCTTCTGGACAAACCATGTGATAAAATGTCTCTGAGGGGTACTCTACAAACAAAGGTCAACATAGCCAGGCTTGCTCTGTAAAATATAGCAGGTGTCACAACAGTGGTCATGAGCTGTCTCAATGAAATTGGGCTTTCTGAGGCTCATGTAACTCTTCTTCCACATTAAATGATCCCTCCGAGTGTCACCTACTCCAATCAGAGATGTTGCCTGGTGATGGTGATGCGATAGTGATGAAAAATCTCGAAAGAAATTAAAATGCGTTGTAAATCAGGCAAGAGATGAATGTTGCAGAAAATCATTAATCTGGTGATTTCTGAGTGGTAAAATAAATATTTTAATTCCAGTTTACAGAAGCCTGATAAAGAAGACATGGAAATCACTGACGTTTGGCGTAGATCACAGTGAAATGAATGAGATTCATTGAACATGTGTTCTGTGTTGTTGCAGCTGCAGTTCCAGCAGAGTAAAAGAGGCTGATCAGCAGATTAGAATCGTATATCACAACAGGTTATTTAGACAATGCATGAATAAGTAATACAGGAGGAGCTCATGGAGCCACAATTAGCTCCCGGGGCCACGAGGAGTTCCTGGCTCAATGCTGAGCTCCATTCAGTGGTTGTAGTCAGGGATGACTAAAACCTGCATAGATGCAGAGACTCTTTACTTAAAAGCACTGAAAACATGCTGCAAGCTCAATGAGAATCAGTGAAAACATGGCGCTTCCAGACGATTTTAAATCCACACTCTGAACAGAAACTTGCTCCTCTCCATGTTAGTGTTTAGCCAAAGTTACCATGGTGATTGAACCAGGTAAAACAGCCACTTTCATGACACAGAAAACTTGACAGAGCTCACTAAGCCAATAATCTGGCTTTGTAGTACGCTGCTTTAGTCGGGCAAGGATTCAAGTGTGTGGCTTTTTAAATGGGTTTGTTTGCAGGCTTCATAAGCTTATTGCTGTTAATTTGTAAGACAATTAGAGATGCTAACTCTCACTGGAGTCTCCAGCTCGTATCTTAAACAGTGTTGTGTTCTTTTCCAGAATGGGACTAATTCATCAAACTATTATTATTGTTCAGGTTTTTGATGCAGCGTTTGGTACATGCTAACGAGGCAGCATGGTCCCTTTTCTGTGTTTCCCTATGTGAAGACAGGCTCGCACGGTGCTGTTAAGGGGTTCTCAGGGTCTCCTGTCAGCTGGCTGCCATTCATTGACAGCCAGCTGACAATGACAGGAAACAGGAAGGTCGGCAGCATTGACCTTTCAAAATAAAATATAGACTTTCAATGTTTGGAATAACATATACCTCAACCGGATCACCTCTGATTGGAACAGTGGCAGAAATGTCAGAGACTTATATTTCAGAACGTGCTGTGAAACAAAAACTATCTACAGAAATAGTGAATACATAAAACCTGGATGAAACCCTTGAGAACATATTTATAGTCACCAAATAAATATGAGGTGGTCTTCGCTGTATCCCAGGTACTCCACGGCCTATGCCGAATCAGACTACACTGATCGTGACACGGACAGAGAGGAGGGTGAGCAGGAGCCTGAGCAAGAGTCTGAGGATGAGGACAGGAGCTGTGCCACAGTCCTTACCCTCCGCCAGGATGTCTCCCAAGAGGAAGAGCTTGAAGAGAGGGGGCTGGAAGATGAGGAGGAGGAGGAGCTAATGAGCGAGGTTCCCAGTGGGGAGCTGGCTCTCCTCCTGGCTCAGAGTGACATCCTCCACACAGGAGATGCCAGTTTAAAAGCAGAAGGCTTTCGACTACTAATGGACAACAGAGCAGAAGTGAGTAACAGGATGCTTGTTGGTGGTCACATGACAAGAAGCTAATGATGCGTGTAATGACCATTAACGCTGATTTGATATGAGTGTTGTTTGTGACAATGGGTCATTGCAAAGAGCAGACATAGAAGAATAAATATATCAAGTGAACCAATGAAAATTCAAATCAAATAATGGTCTCAAAGGGAAAAGGCACTGCTCATATCTTAAATAAAATTAAAATAAAATATACATGTATGAAAACTATGGAACACTTTGGAATTTTTTAGCAATAAAATGTGTTCCGATCTTCGCCCGAGTCAGAACTACAGACAAACACAGTCTGACTGAGCTCGTACTCAAGTGCTTCACAACAAAAATATCAGAGTATTAAAAAAGAAAGAGTTGACTAAATGTATGTCTCAAAGGTGAGTTTTTAGTTATTTCTTAAAAGAGACCAGTCAGTCAACAGATCTCAAGCTCAGAGGGAGAGAGCTTCAGTTTCTGGAACCAGGGTGACAAAAAGCTCTGTCACCGTCAGCTTTAATCCTCGTATGATGCACAACGAGTAGGCCCCACATTACATGACCTCAGCGACCTGCTGGAAACGTGTGTCTGTAAAAGTTCACTGATGTAAGCTGGTGCTCGTCTATGAGGAGCTCTTTTTTTCCTCTTTTTGGGTCTGCAGTATGGAGACAGCAGGGAGTTTCTATGGCGACTGGCTCGAGCCTACAGGGATATGTATGACTCCACTGAAGACAAACAGGAGAAGAAGACCTATGCACAGCAGGGTAATGGACAAACACATACTGTTACTGCACCTTACAAAAAGCTTCAAATACTATTAGTGAGGAATCTCTGAAGTTTGGCTCTTTGGGCTAAATGTCCTTATTCTTAGATTCTATCTAAGCCTGAACATGACAGTTGCCACAAAGCATTTGCTGAAATGTTTCTAGTTATCAAACGAAAGCAAATAAAATACTGACAACTGTCACTGGATTATTTAATGGAAACCAGAGGATTCTAAGGCGAGTTCTGAAGCCTCTGCGCTGCTGTCCCATTAATCTGTTGTACAGTATTACAGAGCCTCTCATAACGATATCATAGCATCATTTCCACCAAGTACCATTTGAATGTTGCAGCAAAAATTGACTCAGTTCCCTGTTCTTAGCTGACAGGAGGGGGGTCTGGTCTGGTCTTCTGCTGCCCTAACCTGTTGGTTCAAGGTTCCACATGTTGTGTGTTCAGAGATGTCTGGGTGTAGAAAACCTTTATATTAGTGTTTAAGTAATATACTAACCGTCCGGTGGACTGGGTGAATCATTGCTAGGAGTTTACATGTGCTCCTTCAAACTGATGGAAACCATGCTGCCGTATCAGACCACAACAACTACTCTTCCTGACATGCTTTCTTTGATTTTTCATAGACAGGCTGTTGTTAACCTGTGAGCTCATGTTGCAGGTCGAGATGAGGCAGAGCTGGCCCTGAAGAAGAATGGCCTGAATGCAGAGTGTCACAAATGGTAAATCCCTGTGAACACAGAGCTTCTAGCGAGCAGTGGGTTTGAGCTCCCATCAGAGAGCATTTGCTTTTTCTGTTTGTGGCTCCAGGTTTGCCATGCTGGCTGGACTGACCTCACAGCATGAGAGCATGCATAGCAAGCTGAAGAGTAGCTGCATATTGAAGGTAAGAAAGGCAGACCTGCTGCACGGCAGCAGTGTAGGCGTAGAGCAGCTGGACTTATTGTGATCATTATTCCCCCGTCTAGGAGCATCTGGACCGAGCACTGGCTCTCAGAGATGATGACCCCATGTGTTTCTACCTGCTTGGCAGATGGTGTTATCAGGTGACTCTGAAGTTATTGCACGCACCTGCTACCATCCTGATGTCAGAGATTTCTGCGCGCTTCAGTGCTTTGTCTGTGTGTCTGTAGGTAGCCACTCTGGACTGGTTGGAAAAGAAGGCAGCTGCTGCCCACTACCAGAGCACCCCCACCTCCACCCTGCATGATGCCCTTGAGAGCTTCCTCAAGGTATGAATCTCCTGACTTTTGAGTTCAAATCGGTGGTAGACTGGTGACCCAAAATACATTCTCCTCGTGGCTTATAGCAATGATGTGCAGTATGTGCTGTATCTAATAAGGACACACTGGCAGTGTGAAGGAGTAGGATGGAGGAGGGATCAGTGTAACAGACTGGGCGTGTCTCAGAAATCAGTTGAATCTCATAGGCTTATAGAAGGAGCTATAATCAAAGGATGCACAGGTGCAGTACCACTGAGAGAGGATGACTCTGAACAACTCGTCTTTATTATTCACTTGCTTCAGTTCTTTAAGATGAATGTGCGGCCTGGGAAATAAGAAAAGTAGATGTTGTATGTCTCAAATCTTAGTTAGCCTCATTTTGTGTCAATTTCTGAGCAGATGTGTGACTGCACACACACACGATGTTTGATGGATGAAATGCTTTTGTGTTAACTTGCAGGCAGAGGAGCTCAGTCCAGGTATCTCCAAGACTGTGAGACTTTACATCGCCAAGGTACTATCAGATCAGCTGATCTCACACTGTACAGTTACGATTTATGGTTCACACACATTAAAGTGCTAAAGTCCAAACTCACACCCTACAGCAGACTCTTGGGATCATCTGTCAGTGACTTTTACATGTTTGCATTCATGTGAGTTAACATGATGTCCTCATTATTTTGTGAAAAATGGAAGTTCACTTTGAATCTTTAAAGCTAGTGAAGCTGGGACCGGAAGAGACTGAAATGTTTGTAATGCCTAAAAGACGATGATGCGAGTTAATAGGTCCCATATCTACTGACACATGTTCATTTACATCCAAAAACACTGAACTGAAAATGACAAAAGGCAGGTAATAATCACGGCACAGTTGTTGCCGTCAGGTCTTTTTCTTTGATGGTCATATCAGGAACTGTGAAACTCACTGTGGCTGGGTCTGGTTTACAGTGTCACAAAGAGCTGGGGAACATCTCCGAAGCCACAAACTGGGCTGAGCTGGCTCTGAAGATGCCTAGAAATACTGAGAATGTAAGAGCACACATCCTGTCCACATTTGAATTCATAGCTGCAGCATTTTCACCACAATGCCTTTTCTATTCAAAGGATCAAGAAACATGTGAACTGGAGGCAGAGCTTCAGGACTTAACTGCCAGAAACAGCTGAGCTGCAGAAAAACTTTCCTTCATTGATGGATGAGTGTGATTTTTGTCTTCTGTCAACTTCTTTGCATCACCATGTATTCAACCTGCTATATTTAACGTTCTTCAGCACCTCCCATCTGAATTCAACGGGCATGCTGTGTTTGGTTTGAAAAACGACTGACTCAAGCTTGATGACTGAAACTACTAATCCCGGGACACGTGCAGAGCTTTAAGGGAAGGAGGAAGCTCTGGAATAAGACCATTTCACTCGGTTCTGTACTATAATGCTTGTTGTGTAAAGATTGGGCCTTCAGGTGTGATCAGGTGAAGCACACTGGCTTCTTTCAAACCTTATGGACTCCCTGGTGCAACATGTAGTTTAAAATGGACCACTTGTTTGAAGTCTTTGTTGTAAGTGCATGGAGCCCTGTGTGCTCATCAGTATGAAGTTGAATATTTTTGAACTGTTTATGTTATCACATGTCCATTTTGCAGTGTCTGCTGTTGGAGTGAGACAAAGACTCAGTACTCAGAGACGTTATTATGCACTGTGTGAAATGCAGATACTGTTTAATAAAGTTCTTTTTCCATTTATGGCAACACATTAGCTAAATCTGAAATGAAGAAAGAAAATCTACTTGAAATACTTTACATGGAATGACTGCTGACCTCTCCTGCATCCAACTCTTTATTCATGACTCATCTTTAGTCAGCTTCATGTTGATGCAGTTATAGAATAAAAATGTCCCATCAGATCAGGAGCAGCCTACGTTTTATAGATATATACAGTTATGCGTCTGTCGCCACAGACTGTCTAGATCGTCTTTCTCAAACAATTAAATAAAACGTGACAGTGTGACGAGACAAACACACGCAGATCCAGCAGGTGCGCCTCACATCCTGCTGCTTCAGTCCTTGGCATCGCCCACTCCGTCAGCGTTGATGGCAAACATGGCTTCAGCCTCAGGCAAGCAGGGCGAGTCATAGATTTTACAGATCCTCGTTTCTCCTCTGCCCTTCCTCAGGTACAGGCTGTGAAGAAGAGAGCACTGTTAGTGTCATCTTCCTGTGGTGACATCATACTTCCATCGTGAATAAAAACACACCGTGTGGTGGAGGCGTGGGCCAGAATGTTGCCGCCGATTGGTTTCTTAGGATCTGCAGAAAACATGGCTGCTCCATCCACTTGTGCTACCACTTGGTTGGTTATCACCACAGCAACGCCAAACTGTTGACAGGTCGGGCAAAAGTTATGTCTTAGATACATGAGTGAGGCAGCTTCAGCTCATCCATTGTAGATTTAAACACCTGTCAACAGTCACACTTTATAAACTTTGTGTACACACACACACACACACTTTCTTCACTGACTTCACTATCATTCTTTTGACAAAAACTAAAAATAGTCAAATAGATTGATAACAGATCCTCACAGGACGGCTGCTGCAAACGTAATTTATAGAGTGATTCTGTATATTTAGCAGAATATAAATTATTTAAAATGAGCTCAACCATTTACATACATTTAACACTAATCTGAACATTTTTACTTCTAAATATTTTTTTACATTTATTTTCATTGATGTATATTTTCCAGTTACATCAATTTATTTTACTGAGGCGTTTTCTTGCTTTTCTTCCTAAAGAGTGATTTATGTCTCTGCCCACTAAAAGTAATCATTTTTGGTAATGCAGCATATATTTAACTATAGAAGCAATGTTTTAAAATTTGTCAGCCATTCACAAGCGCAGAATGGTGAAAAGCTCCATGCAGAGTATAGACAGTATGTTTTTATCTGATCCAACTAAGTTCACTCAGAGATCATGCTGATTAGATTTACTCACTGAATTCCACCTTTATAACTCAGGGAATGTCTGCTTACATCATCTTAAATTCAGCTGATTAAATCCTAAACACTAAATGTACTCACAGTAGAAATTATTCCAAGTGATTTAATTCCCCACACTGCACCACTAAAACTGATCTTATGATTAAGAAAAATGAAGCTAATTTGTGTTTGGTCTTTCTTTGTAACAATTCTTCTTGATGACAAATCGTATACCGTTAGAAAGCTTATTAGTTTCCTTTAAAAGGTGCCACATTAGTAAGGAAAATGCATTTGTGGGTTGAGCAGCAGAGTTGAGCATATTGGATGCGCCCATGATACCCCAGGTGCTGACAGTCAGGTGCCTGATAAGCAGCATGTGTGAACAGAGACCCTGCTACAGCGGATTTGGGATCCATAATATTAGATCTGAATAGGATTTTATTATATATTGGGGGTGGCTGTAGCTCAGCTGGTAGAGCAGGTCACCTACTAATTGAAAGGTTGGTAGTTTGATACTCGTCTGCTCCAGTCTGCATGCCAAATATTCTTGGGCAAGATGTGCCCCAAATACCTACTTTCTACTTTTATTATATCAGTTCAATTAGTACTTTAACTTTAACCACAGTATAGTTAACACAAGTATCTGTACACTACTGGCACCTGAGGCGATCACTGATTCGTGGAGTGTACAATTCAAACTAAAGAATCTGTCAGGGTGTGAGAGCTGACCTCGTCCGCCAGCCTGAGCAGCATACGCAGGAAACGGCCCAGGTGTCCCTGCCTGGCTGACAGCTCTCCTCTGCCCGAGTAGTCGGTTCTGTACAGAGCTGTGGCACTGTCTACTATCAGCAGAGCATACCTGACAAACACAGGGACAAATAGTGTTAGCCTGCACGTTCACACTCAGATCTTACAGTTTTTTATCGTATGTGTGACATGCCAATGTCAGACCCTAGTCGGGCTTAAAAACCTTTATGATACATAAATGATGAAACAACTCAAACAAATGGTAAATGGCCTGTATTTATATAGCGCCTTACTAGTCCCTAAGGACCCCAAAGCGCTTTACATATCCAGTCATCCACCCATTCACACACACATTCACACACTGGTGATGGCAAGCTACAACAAACAAGATCATGCTTTTCACAGACTACATGAAAAAAAAACTCTTTAGTCAGTTTCCTTGATTAAAAAGACAAACCAGCTAAGATGGGCTGTATGATGATACCCTATTAAAACGTCTATCATTTATTTCGTGGTGTTGCAAAACACAGCGTTTACTGCAAGATGACAGTTTGCAATAGTCACCACCAGCAAAAACAAATGGGGACTGTTCCTAAATGGGGTTGTACCTGTGGCGCACCATAGAATAAAGACTCATTGAGAAAATTGCAGCCATTACAATTTTATACATTGGTCGAAACACTCGACAAGTCGGGTTCCCACATTTATATCACAAGTGTCTGTCCAGCACTCACTGCGACAACAGATATCTAGACAAGCTGAACGGTGCACTTCATCAGAGACGGCACACTCTGACGTTTGCACACAGGCTGGGTTTCTGACGACCGTACAGGAGCAGTGATGATAGGAGAGGCAGCCAGTGTGTATCACTAAGGCCAATATTCATTTCATTTTTGATTATTTCAATTAAACGTAAAAAAGAAAACAGTATTATTGTTTATTAGTATAAAGTATGAACTGAATTTACAACGAAAGGCACTATATTATGATACAGATCGTTATTATCGGGATAAGAAATTACTTCGTTACTTCTACAATCATTGGAAAATATTAAATCTGTCTGTGTGATTTTGTGATTCAAGACATTTTATAATCTGATTAAAATCAAACGTGAACTTTCTCAGCATTTTTCTCGTTTTTTAATCTGACTAATGTTTAAGAAATGACTGAGAAGCAATTTCATTTCTCGAGTCAGTCCAAACTCACCATCACAGCTAGGGTTAACTAAAACTCAAAATTGAATTCAGAAATTCACTCGAGCTGATGGACAAACATGAAGACATTCCACGTTGAAACCATTATACAATATAGGCTCTGTGCATCTTACATAAATCATGACATTTACATCCAGTTTTCAGTCCTACCGTGGAGCCAAGTTTCCACATGTCCTCTCACTGCACTTCCTAGTTTCTGGTTAAGTGAAATTAGGCAAAAAAATAAAAATAACTATCCTTCAATGATTCACCTGAACACTTCTACACGGTCTGTAAGTTTGTGACTAACCTGGACTCTGCCATCATTGCAGAAGCTTGATAGAGCAGCTGAGTCTGGTGGTCTGTGTTGAAGGCTCGGGCATAGGCCACGTTATCCAAAACGTCACTGCCTACCAGCCCATACCTGACAGCACAGACAGACAACACATACAGCTCCAATAAGAGTAATAAAATCAACAACGTGGAAATAAATGACAGGTTTATAGATTTTTATTCTGCGTCAGTTACTTCTTCTTTGACCTCTGAACTGAATGCTGAAAACAAAGGAGCACCATCTCACCTCTCGGCAACAGCGAGCAGTCTCTCTGGTCTGAAGGTTCCTTCTGTGTCGATGTACATGGCTTTGCCTTCTCCGCCTCCCTGATCGATGGGTAGCTGTGGACGGTCACCATGGTTACATCTCTCTAGATCAACAACTTATTTGTAAAGCAATCCTAAAAGTTTCTGAGCGAGCTGCTTGTGATCCTCCATAACACACGCTGATGGATAGAAACTGGCTTTTTAACTTCTTCTGGGACCACTTCGGTTTGTTGAACACACTGTACCTGGCAGGTGACGGCGAGTGTGTGGCACAGCTGGGTTTTCCCCGTCCGAAACTCTCCAAACATCTCTGTGATGGAACCCGTCTCAATCCCACCTGTAGGAGAGCAAAAAGGTTTAAATTTGATGTGCGAGACTGGGCCTCCCTGCTGCTTCCCGAGTTCTGATAAGTAAACAAAAAATGGCTGCATGATTTGTTGTTTTGGTTTGCACCTTTATTTAAATGGTGGTCACGAGGAACATCCCTAGTTTAAATCTAATAAAACCAGCTTAGGGCACATAACCATCACTGGCATTGTGTTTGCTGCATAACTGAACTGCTAATCAGGGAGATCTCCTCAATGAAGCATGAGCTACATTAGACTAACCCTGCAGGAGTTTGTCCAGCTCCTTGGAGCCTGTAGAGATCTGGATAATCTCAGCTCTCCTCTGATGGAACTCAGTAGCTGTGGTGAAGCCCATTGGCACCAGTTTGGCAGCTTCAGTCTGAGGGAAAAGGTAAATGAAAGCAATTCAGTTTTGTTTATACAGGGCCTAATCAAAACAACAGTGGCCTTGAGACACTTTATCTTGGAGAGTAAAGACCCCACAACGTTCAGATGACCCCCTATGAGCAAGCACTTTGTGACAGGGGAAGGCAAAACTCCCTTTTGACAGGAAAAGACTTCCAGCAGAAACACTCTCGGTGATGGGTGGCCATCTGCCGCGACCGGTTGGGGCTGAAGGGAGGAAGACGGGACAAAGACGTTGTGGAAGAGATCTAGAGATGAATAAAAACTCCTATCCAAATACAGAGAGGTGTGTATAAATATTTATTAACTCTTTTTCTTTGATTAACAGTACTGAAAGTAGCTGTACATAATGTTACCTTTGTCAGATGGTTATGACCATTTTTGAAGTTATTACTAGTTGACCTTAAAGGAATGTGTGGCTCAATGCTAAATGGTAATCTTCTAAATTAGTGAGATGCCAGTTCCTTTCCAGCTTACAGGCCATCTACTGTAAAAGTGTACATCTGAGAGTTATACCAGGGGCTCAAGATCTTCTTATCCGAAGCTCTTTCTTTAAAAGAAACCCCCCCAATAAAAAAAACAACACACACACACACACACACACACACACACACACACACACACACACACACACACACACACACACCCCTATCAGATGTTTCTCACTGCTACATTTTTGTACCACCTTGTTCACAGCTGTTTCATTTGTGAGACCTAACCTTAGTAGTGGTTCAGTGACCCTCTTAATGGGCCACGCCCACTTGGGCTGAGCACTGATGTGCAGGTGTAGACGCAGCTCTTTGAGGAAGCATGTCTTTGGTTTTTCCGGCACTTTTGCCTGCAGCCTCCCAAACAGCTGTGAGCCTTCTGGCTGAAGACCATGAAGAACTCAATTCCTATGATGCATTTCATATTAGAATTCCTCATTTCCTGTTTTAAAACATCCATTAAGGCCGACATGGATATTACTACTGAGTGGAAACCATGTCTTCTTTAACAGCATGCACTGATGTTCAAACCAGCAGCACTTGGAGAAAGTACAGAAGCACACTGATGTGCCTCTACAATGTATCCGTTTTATCTGTCAATCAGATATGACCATATGCAGTCTCCTCCACACAATCCCAGCTTTCACATTCCTCTGAGATACCGAATCAAACAACTGTCGTTCCTTACCAGGATCTTGTCAGCCTTGGCCTCACTGATGCCCTTGATGTTGAGCAGCTCCTTCTTGGGAGCGTAGGCCACTGCTTCAATGGTGTGGAATCCTGCATCCTCCAGCTTTTTGATGTCACTGGCACTGATTCCGCATTGCTGTGTGCAGAGGCATCAAAACAAAGAGCTGAAGCTAAATTCATAGAAAGAGTTTTTCAAGAAGCTGGAGGGTCTTGCACACTCCATGATTAAAAGCCAGTTTAATTTTTGATAGAGCAGTTAAAAAATAAATAACATAGTTGAGCCATTTATGAGATATCATGCAGAGAGGGCTTTTGGCTTTTAAAGGCATTAGTAAGAAATACAGAATTTTAGGAACAAAGTCACTGACAGTTTCATTTAACACAATATACGAGCCTGGTGAGGGACCAAGCAGTGAAGGCATAGAGGACAACAGGAGAAATGTCATTAAATCGGGGCTTAATTTTTTTTACCTGTGTCACGGGGCAGTAATTTTAGGAAGTCAATGAAATGACACAATCTGGATTTTTTAATGCCACCACTCAATTCTGATTAGAGCCTGACTGATATAGGATTATTAAAACCAATACAAACAATTGGTGATTTAAAAATCTGATGCATCAGGATAACTTTTCCTCCACACACACACGTTACATGTGGTTATTTATGAATCCCTACAAACACAATAAGACCCAACTACTTAGAAATCAATGGGTTTCACTGTCACAAAAAGCTGTGGATTACTCACTTGTGCTCTTTCCATATCAGCGGTGTGTTTGTATTAAACAGTGCAGCTGCAGAGCACCCTCTAGTGGACAATCTATGCATTAACCACGACTCACTGAAGGGGTTTTCTACCTCCTCTTCTTTACTTTTTACATTTTTATTTATCAGTCGTTATAAATGGCAATAGTGATATTTCAGAAATTATCTAATGCTGTCTGACATATCAGCCCATTCTAAATCCAAGCTTCAAATACATTTAATGTTTAAAGTGCTTCTTCGGTCTTACTGACCAGTTGCAGAGCTTACTATCAGTAACACTATAGGCATACAAACTGCAGTCAGATTTTTTTTTTAAAAAGGGCCAAGTTCAAAGACGGGTGGATCCTTCCATGAATCAATCAATGGTTTCCACCTGGTGCTCCAAGAATCAGCTTATTGCTCATTGTAGAAGAAGAATCAGGTCATTTACAATTACTTCAGTATATGTAATGAAGCCACCTTCCTTTACACTTTGAACGTTGTCAGTTTTGTCACATAATACTTTGAACATACCATACTCATATTTTTTTAATCCTTGCAGTCTGAGTGTGTCGGTGGATTTGAGATCCTCTGTGATCCACGCCATGATCGTTTTAAATAGTTCTGTACTTAAGGTCATACAAAAAATAAGGTGACCAAATTTCACCTCGTACCTGAATGTGACATAATAATAGAAAAGTATTAAATTGAGTTTAGACGGCAGACTAAGAGCAAGTACACTTGTCCATCTGCATTTAAGTTTAGTGAATGAAGTCATTTTTGATCACACACACTAAATGAAGCCATACTGGCCACAAAAACGACTGAAACCAATGAGCACCATCGCACCCGCCGATCTGTGGATCAGTTAAATTGGTCTTTGCAGTGCATGTATCCCATCTCTTCCCAACTGAATGCAACAGCAGTTGGCAGTGATCTGACCAAGAGGAGCAGGATTAGCGAACCCACAGCTCCGAGCTTCTATAGCACACAAAATCAGATGTTACAGAAACCACAGTGCACTAAGGACGGATACGTACCTCCAATCTGGATAGAGGCTGTGGCCCGTAGTTTTCCTCCTCCTCCACCTCCACTCTGGCCTCGCTCCTCATCGCCATGATCCAAGGAGAACCAGATCGGCTCCGCTCGGCTTGCTGATTGTTTGACGGTTAATACTGAAAGCTAAGCCAGAGAGCTAGCATGGAAAAGCTGATTGATACAACTATGTTTTCATGATGATCGTCACACGGCAGGTTTTTTTACTTTACCTTTTCATCTACCCTAAAACCAAACTTAAGTCTTTTTCACATTTAAAACATCTAAGAGACTATTCCATCTACACTTACACACTGTTAATACCCAGTAAAAATGTAACGTTTTTTTCTAACACAGTAAATCGACAAATTCACGTTAACACACTTTAGCGACAAATTCGCCCATTATTTATGTGACCGACAGCCCAGGCGCTGTCACCGTGAAGCTAGGACGAGCTGCCCGCGCACTCTGTCACAGTTGCTGTTAGTTTTTACAGTTACTGGGCTAAAAGCGGTCCTTTCTACGCGACTTCGGCCCTTACCTTCTTGCAGTTTTCTTGTTTTCCTCAAACTCCTCGGTGTGAAGCTCCCGCGCGCACATTCAGATTCAATGACGTTGTACGTAAACGGAGCCAATGGGCGCGTGAAAGAAGGGTCGTGAGAGACTGGAACCGGAAGTAGGTGCGTGACCCCGCTATTACCATAGTATGGCAAACCGTCTAGGACAAAATTCGCCACTTTTTTAACGCTTCTGGTTACGAAATTACGTAACCGTTTAATCGCCGTTTAATAAGTCAGAACTTGTCCCCGACTGAACGCAGCATTTTACGCCAAAGTGTAGCGCCTTGAACGCCTGGGAAAAACGCCGCTTTTTCAGCCATTCAGAAGGAGCGTTCAAGGCGCAACTCTCTGGCGTAAAATACGGTGTTCTACGGGGTCAAAACCGCCATAGGTGGCCAGTTCATGTTTTGTTTTCATATTCATGACATGTTTTAATGTTAATAGCAGCCTGTTAACACAGCTGAACTTTGAACCTCTAAATTTGTTTCTTGTCAAGTTGTTCCCCTGCAGGAAGAGTGTTCCTTTCAGATAAAGTTATATTAATTGATCAAACTGTGTTTAAAGGTCCATTTCAGCCATTAAGATGATCCATAAACACATGGATAAGTGATCATGGAGGGAAAGCTTTGGGAGCGGGGGGCTTTACACTTCAGCCTTCAGCCAATGTTCCTAGAACAAAAGTGTGACTGTCAGAGAACCTTTGGGGAACGTTCCCCGTTTGCTAAGAGCAATACTAAAAAGGGCACTTACAGTAGTTGTGGGCTGCACAGGTTTCAGAGGGGTCTGTGGTCACAGCGTACATTTATACCCAGTAGGGCATTAGAATGCTTTTGAATTTGAAAATGACTCTGGAAATATTAGAGTAAACAGTGTAATATGCCAATTGTAAGTGACAGGCCATCAAAAGTGAAGTGAAAAAAACCAAACAAAAAAACGTTTGCTGTACAAATCTGAAACCTTTGATATACAACTCTGCATTTTAATTGACGCAGATGGATACCCCTCCCTGAGCAGTGGTTCTGCTCCAGGTTTCTTCCTGTTAAAAGGGGGTTTTTCCGAATGGCAAACCACAGATGAAAGACATGTTCTGTTAGGGTCCAGCGCACAAAGACACATTTAGGACCACTCTAAATCTGGTTCTGCAATTGTTTGGGTTTAGTGGAGCAAATCAAACTTGCCATTGCTGACTCATATTCTGATCAATGTTCAGGTTCTTTTGTTTAAAACCACAGCACCTAAAGAAGCTGATAAATCTAAAACATTACTAGAGCTAAGCTAAGATACATCGTTCACAGTGTAGATTTGTTGGAACAAGGTCAGTTGACTGAAATGTAACATAGACACCATTTAAGCACCTTATTAAACACATTTATTAAATTTCTTAGAACAGGATGAAAAGGGAAAAATGAAAGTGGGAAATAAAAGTACATAAACATTACAAACAAAGGTAAAAATACTGCTCTTTACAAACACGTTATTGTGTTTTACACATTTCTTCCTGTTTTGGAGACTTTGGCCACCACTCGTTTTTGTCCGTGTCCACAGTAACATCTGTAAATACACAAGACAAACACCACTAAATGAAAAACAAATACTGAAGCATTAATGGGAATTTTAGAAATATTATTATATTTATTCTAAAGATCTGTTTTTGTGCAGAGGCTAGTGACATCATACAGTCCTACCCAGTGATGTCACACTCCTCCACTGATTTACAGATAGCTGTAATGTACAGCAAGCTGTTAGTGAACAACAGCTAACTTGCTGCTCTTAAAAGACTTCAAACATGCGATTAGCAGGTGAAGATACATGGTGCATCTCTGTGTGGATGACTTTTTAGCTTTTGTTTGTCTGCAAGAAAACTGCAGACCAACCCTGAAACCTACTCTAAAACGCTGCAATGTTGTTAACGATGGTTTTCAATCATTTTTTTCCATGCCAAAAAAAAAAAAAAAAAAAAAAAAAAAAAAAAAAAAAAAAAAAAAAGAGTGTACCCAACTCATGTTCATAAATAAAGCACCTGCCTGAAGTCGAGGTTTGAAATTCTGTTAATGGTTTCCTCATTCAAGCCACTGAGTCGCCACAAAACCCACTAAAGTGCAGCTGTAAGAGTTACTATACTGGTCACAGGGAGCTGGGTCTCCTAATGCATGCGTCTCTGACAAGGCTGATTTTTGCTTGTTACAAATACAAAAACTGCATCTCTACTATGGAACACTTTAAAATATAGAGTTCTATAATGTTTTAAAACACTAAAATAACAGGAGTAGCGTTATTCCTCCTGCTATTATTTGGGATTTATTCTCAAATGAAAGGGACCAGACCCCACTGAACAAGGTGGCCATGGCAGAAGAACATGTTACTGTGATTCTGAGAAGACCGGTGAAGTGCCATTAACCCGTGCTTCTGTTAGTATACCCCAAGTGACTGAACCCTACATCCCCACATGTTGTACGTTGTTACCCTGTTCTGGAGCTGCTGTTTCAGGAACACGGGAAACCTCTGACAAAACAAACGGCCAACATCTTTATGATATTCTGAAGCTTTTGAAAGAATGTGACAAAGTAGCCTACGCTGCAGTTTACCTGGAATGGTTCCAAGGCTCGAGTTGTCGAAGAACTGCTTGGGACAGTTTCGGGACAGTGTCTCAGAGCTTCCGCCCACATCAAAGAATCTGCTTTTGGGGGATTCGAGGAGAGAGGCCTTTGGCGAATCCAGCAGCTTTCTGGGTGACTCCAAACCCTTCCTGGGAGTGTCCAGGAGCTTCTTGGCAGGTATCAAAAACTTTTTAGGTGAGCTCAGCAGGTTAGAGGAGTCAGAGGTCATGGGAAAGCCCCTCTTGGTGGGAGTGCTAGGTGACTGAAGCTTGTCCTCTTCCACTTTGTTCCTCACCTTTAGTTTGATGGCTCTGTTCTTCCACTTGGTAATCTCAGCCTGCTGACTGGCAACCACACTGATGAGAAAGGAAGTCTGTGATTAGAGCTCGACTTCAATTTTTATGTCACAAAGTGATAACTATGGAATGTGATCTGTGTTTGTGCAGTGAGCGTTCAAACCAAACCACCATCAGGACAGCAACGGGCTTCATCTGAATGACAGTTTGTCTAAATATCTGATCAGATCTTAATCCTAGTGACACAACAACTTGTATTGTTGTCTTGGGAGACAATAGCACTGTCTATCAACTGGAAATAATTTGATGACTATTAATGTTGCTAAACCAGTTTCAGAGGATAACTGTACGGCAAAACCAATTAGAAAGAAACAGAAGAGAAAACTTAAAATAACACAAAAAAACAACAACAAAAATCCCAGAAATGTGAGAGATTGAGACACAGTTTGTAACATTGTTCACGCTTAAGGAAATGCTTAATCAGCAAAAAAAATGCATATGAACTTGAGTGTCATCCCATTTTTAATCCATAAGGTTTGATATGAGGTCAGGCGAGCCTTTTCAGTTCTTGCCTGCCATTAAAGATGCAAGAAGCAGCTGCAATATTCTCCTAAAGGGTGGACACGATCATACACGTCTTCAGCCCACGCGACGGCCACGTACAACGCACCAAGTTACAAAAATCAAGAGGTGCACGATCGGCCGATGCGCCACAAAGAAGGATGTGATATGTGATATCTTCAAATTAGCTTTTAATGCAGCAGTTATGTTAATATGAATCATCCTTGTTGTATAAATAAATATAATGCAAAAGGTGGCGACGTGCTTTACACCAGCGGTCCCCAACCCCCGGGCCTCGGACCGGTACCAGTCCGTGAGTCTTTGGTACCGGGCTGCGAGAGTTCAGGCTCAGGTGTGAAATGTATAGTTTTCAGGGTTTTTAATCGGTTTTCAGCGTTATTTTGTTATCATTTACTCTGTTTTCCTTGGTCTTTTCACGTGTGTTATGAATAAATTCTCTTTTTTTCGGTACCGGTACTAGTTTTATTTTGTTGTATTTATCCGCGACACATTAAAGGCCGGTCCATGAAAATATTGTCGGGCATAAACCGGTCCGTGGCGCAAAAAAGGTTGGAGACCGCTGCTTTACACTACTGCAAACAATGTTTTTGGATTGTGCTTGTTTATCTAAGGCTTGGATGCAGCTGCTCTCAAGCTCTCTATGCACTGTTCTTTCAAGCTGATCTGAAGGTCACATGAAGTTTGGTCTACCACTTTATGGCAGAGTTGATGTCGTTCCCCATTTTTGTGTTAATACCAGCGACCCGTTGTTTCACAAATGTTTGTAGAAGCTGTCTGCATGCTTGGATGCTTGATTCTATACACCTGTGGCCATGGAAATGACTGAACACCTGAATTCAGTGATTTGGATGGGCGAGTACAGCACAGTGCAGGTATAGATGATATTGATGGAGCAATACAGGGACATATGCATAGACAGTACAGAAGTAAATATGGAAAGTAGCATTTTAGATTCAAGATCTTATACCAGTTCAATGTTTCCCTGTTTGAGGGAGTTGTTCTACAAATGTTACTCCTTTACCACAAAAAAAAGAAAAAAGAAAAGTGTCTTATTGGAACAAATGGAGATTTACACTCAAACAGATTTGATATCATTTCACGGTAAAATAATAAAAACTCTGAACTTCAACATGCATTTAAAATGGGTCAGTCAGCTTTAAGCTAATTAAAGATGATTGAAGGTTAATAATGCTATACTGATGCTATTATATTAAGTTTTAATGCTGCTTCCATATGCAGACATTTTGTCTGCATATGGCACTAAAGCATGACTAATCAAATGGGTGGTTATTTATCAAACAGGCAGCAGTGCATTTGTATTTTTACAGTTCACCATCAAATTTCCAATCATTATAATGTAGGATTCCTCAGAGTGAGTGTTACTGTATGTCAGATTTACAAATGACCTGCTGCGTGTGCTAAAGAAGGCACTGCAACGTATGCAGATGGTAGTACAATCTGCTGATAGTAGAGAAGAGAAATTAAGAAAACACAGCAAGAGGAATTGCTGTTAATCACTCAGTGGGTTTCTGAGTCAAAGAGGGGGCTAAAATGTTTGATGTTGTAGCCGACCAAACACTGTTACAGTCAACTCAAACCAATAACAGTTGCTAAGACGGGCATTTCAGTCATCATGTCCATGATAGCTGGAAGAAGAGCCACAGTAACACAAGCTGTGTGTAGAATGTTAATGATTCCACAGCAGTAAACATCACTCAAAGTGTTTTCTACTTTAAACACACGTAGCGATTGTATCGGTTGCAAAGACAGTGCTGATGCCGTTACCTTTCCAGTTCTGTGATTTTCATGTGAAGCTGGCTGACTTCCTTCTCCAGCTTGGATTTCTCCATCAGAATACTGCTGCTGACCACAGAACTCCTGGGGTTGGTCAGTCTGGCATGAAGGTCTTTACCCTGCAAGACTGATTCCAACATGAATGCATCATTTAAACATGCTCCTCTTTCAATGGTTACACCTGAATTAGTTATTCATCGGTCAGATTTCTTTGTTTGTTAGCAGATATACATGCACAGCGCTGACACTTACACGACTCTTCTCCCTCCTGTTGGGATTTTCTCAAAGTCTCTTTAAGCTTCCTCAGTAACTCTTCTTTTTCCTCCAACAGTGTGTTCATCGCCTGGATCCTGGAAGACAGAATGCCGGTCATTAGAGTCAGCAGTCCTGCAGCAGGCCACAGGTCTTGACACCACTGACCCTGAAAACCACAGTGGAGAAAAACTAACAAACAAAAGTGTAAGAACGAATTCAATAGCTCTTTACTCTCGTTTGTGTTCGTCGGATGCTGAGCTGAGCTTCATCTCCAACTGCAACAGCTTGGTCTGAAGCTTCTCCAGCTCAGCCACACTGGGTGATGATTTTTTCTGAACCAAGGAGGACAAAGATCATCGTACCAGCTACTCATTCGTCAGATAACCAAACTGAAGTGCAGCTGCGCTGTTATATGAAACCAACAAACCTCAGATTCTCGAATTTTGCTCTTCAGAGCTTGTATAGCGTTCTCTTTCTCTTCAACTAGTGCACGGTTGTCCTGCAGCTCAGTCTGCAGGAGTTGTGTTGCCTCTTTGTGGTTGGAAACTTTGGCATCAGCTTTGATGCGTGCCTCCTCCAGCTGCTCAGTTTGAATATGCAGAGCCTGAAAGTGAAACACATTCTTCATTATTATCTGTGGCTCTCAACTTCACCAAAACAAACAGTGCATTGGTCGGGGACTAGTTTGGGTGGTGAATGAATCCACCATTGGATGCTCCGATTTCTAGTAGCAAGCTGGTGTCTGTAAGCGTGTGTGTGTGTGAGAGAGACTGTGTGTTTTCATGGTAATGAAGGAACACATCACCCAGTACTAACTGATGTTTCAACTGCTTTGAACAAGAGAAGGAAAGAAATAAGAAACCGTGTGGCAAACACACTTTCACTTTTTCCTCTGCGTGTTTCAGCTGAGAAGCTAGCTGCTGGGTTTCCTTCAGCAGAGCTGCGACTGTCAGAAGCGCTCCCTCCTCCAGCGCCTGCAGCAAAGTGGAACTTTTGCTTTTCACCTCCCTAAGGTGAGACGCTGCCTCAGCCTCCAGCTGTTTTAGCTCTTCAAACGGACCCTTCTGCTCATCAGTGATACTCTATGGGAGGTAGGTGGAAAAAAAGAGCAATGCGGTAAATATCATTTAAAAGATTTCTTCTAATCCAAACTAACCAATCCCCCCAAGCAGTCTGTGATGTGCATCTAGATTAAGAGCCAATCATTTGATTCATTCTGAGAGCTGGAATTATCCATTCAGAGAAATCTTTGTCAAACACGTCAACTGACCTGCAGAAGACATTTCTTGCTTTGTATCCCCGCCGTTCTGCGGTCAGACTCCAGCTCCAGGATGCTGTCCAGCCCACTGAAGCTAATTGGCTGGTTGGTGATCAGGACCTGCAGCTGCTTATTGAACTTGAATCGTTCTTGAATCTCATCCTTCAGCTCATGGAGGTAGGAGGTCATGTGGTCCCAGAGCTTGTCCAAAATGCTGCTCATTTTCTACAAAAATCAGCAAAGTCACCATAAAGTACCAGTGATGGAGAAGTGGATGCACATGAACAGGAGGGAGTAAAATCAAATCTATCTCCAGCTTCAACAAGTAACAACCTTTGTTGCAAGACTGACAATACAGCTTGTTATACACCACGTGACTAATAATGATAAAGTAGACACCAGAAAAGTACAGTCTTCTTCTCAACTTCTCAGAAGCTGGTTTCTTTGAATGGGACAGAGAGAGCGTCCAAGTGTTTCAGGGGGCAGGGCAGAAGGCTCACCTCCATGTAAAGTTGCCTCCTGTCCAGCAGCTCAGGCAGTCTCTGCTCCCACAGTGCGTCAAAGCCCTTGACTTGAACAGAGTGGCTGGGCGCCTGCGCTCTGCATAGAAGCACATCCTGCAGCCGTCTCTCCTCGAAGACGGCCAAGTCGTTTTTCACCAGCTCCTCAAAAATGTTCCTGTAGCCAAGTGCCTTCACACGCAGCAGCTCCTGTGGGAAAAGGACCAGAGATGACTTCATTCAAAGACCAGCATATTTAGGAAATTTTGTAGTACAGTCAAACTACAGCCAGTTACTTGAATTTTTCTGAGATTTTCATCAGTTGACTGTCCCAGCTGAAAGACCGCATCATAGGCATCCTTGGTGGCCTTGGGAAGAGGATGCTTCAGGGAACGCCGCTCCCTCAGGCCCTTGTCCTGAGTTATATTGTCATAACTACAACAAGTGTTTATGAATTGCTGGAACCTTTTGAAGGACTCCTATAATGACAAGAACCAGGTAGCATCAGAGTTATGATCACACTGCATGCTAGAAAGACATTTGAGCTGCAGAGCAGTCAGTGAAGCCGTTACCTCAAGCTGTGTGTCTTGCAGTTGTGACGACAGCAGCTCCTTAGCCCCGCTGGTGCTCGGCTCTGACCTGCTGAGCTGCTCTCTGAGAGCAGAGATGGTTGCGTTCGCTTCGCTGAGCAACTGGAAATGAAAATAAAATCACAGTCAGCATTTAGCCATCCTCAACTTTATGCCAGCGATTTATTCTTGCGTGTAATTGACATTCCAGCTTTTCATCTGCGTAGAAACTCTCTATTAAAGCTAAAATATGAGATTCCCTCCAGTCCACCTAAATATAGTGCCTTTCTACTTTACCTGAGCTCTGATGAATGCATTCACACACGTTCACACCAGTCAATCCAAGTCGGGAATAATGGAAAAGGGGCATTATTACTGCAGCCCACTAGGGGCCTCAGTTCACAATTTGGGAACCACTGTTTTACAGCAATACTGAACAGAGCACCATGTTTGTGTCCCTGCCATACAAGACAGGAAGTATCAGCACTCTCCAACTCAGTCCTCAGCTTTTAATCATAAATGGACTGGTGCTTACATCACACGTCTCAGTAATCCACACACTATGTTCAGTGTCTTGCCCAAGGATAATTCAGCATGCAGATTAGAGGAGCTGTGGACTGCATTATCATAATCCAAAATTATGGTTCTAAAAAGAGGAAACAAATGAGAGCAAAGACTCACCTGCTGCACTGCATCTGCTTCACTTTCAGCCTGAGCGCGTCTTTCTGTGTGCATTTGAACTTGCTCTTTAAGCTGCAGTATCTGACAAAAACAGAGCAGGTCGAGGTGTGAGCATGCAACACAGCTAACAACAGTGCTAACTGGGATGGAACCCATTTAGACCAATGGAAAAGGTTTTGAAAGTGGGGCTCATCCATGTTTAGAAAAATTGTCAAAAACCACCAGCTGGAGGATCAAAAACCGAGAGCACTCAGTAAATCGACATGCACTTCTTCGGTGTAGGCAAGGCTGCAGAGGTTAGGATACACTTATGCAGGGAATGCCGACGTGCATTTGTAACATTAAATGTGTGTCAGTGGTAGGTGGTCGGGCTAGCTTCCCCACAGCTTTCATACTAATGTAAGCATCCACAGTCGAAACAAGCAGAAAATGACTGGGACCTACGTCTTGTTGCAGCTTGGCTTCTTGCTCTCCTCTCTCAGGCTGCTGCTGCATGTTCAGCTGACTCAGCTTGTCCTGGATGGCTGAGATCTGCAGATGAATGAGAAAATGTGATCAAGTTTCCAGGCTGCTCTTCCTGTTCTCGGTCACTTTAGAATAGCACTAATTTACCATCTGCATCCTGTCCTCCAGCTCTGCCCGGAGCTGCTGCTTCTCCTGCCTCAGACCCTCCAGGATCTCCTGCAGCTCGTCTCTCTCCTCGCTGACAGACGTCACTCTGCACAGCAGCTTCTCCATCTCCTCGGTGGAGGTCTGAGTGCTGAGCTCCTTCTCAGACAGCAGCCGTGCTCCTTCTGCTTCAGCCATTTTCAATGCATCGGTCAGAGTCCTTATCTGTAAAAGACACGATTGGCTTTTTCACTTAAATGAAATTTCATAGATGTTTACAGAAGCAAGATAAGACATGAACCTGCTGATTTAAAGAACACAGGCAGATCAATGACCCTGTCTTTCTGCACAAACACAACAAGTCCATGAGACAGAAACGCAGCTAACGTTGCAGTACAACACCTCCCAGTGAAAACTAGGATCTACAGACGCTAGAAGACCGACTGAGAACCTCCTGAGGTCAGAAAGTATTGTATTGCTGTTAGCAGCGTGGAATAAGACAGGGACACGTTCGTCACCAGTATTATTCCTTACGGTCACATGGATGGTTGGAAGGACAGAAAGACATCAATCCAGTGGACAAGGTGAATACCAGCGAGTCTTACAGTAATAAACAAATACATGAAGTACAGTAGAAAGCTACTATTGGACTGCTACACCTGTATCAGTCCTGGGAGAATCACTACACTTATTATGTAGATGGATCAGTGAAACTAACAGTACGGAGTCTGAAAATCTGATGAAGCTAAAAAACACCAAAGATGTTGTTTTTCTCTGAAGGAGCACATTTTCCTCATCACTGTGCATGTGTTGAATTTACTTCTTCATCACAGTTGATGTGGACAGTAATATAGGTCTATATAACACACATCACTGTGTAGAAAAGAGGCTTCATATTGTACCATAAAGACAGCCGCTATCAACATGCAATTGGCAAAGGACAGAAGGAAAAACTCCCTTTTAACAGGAAGAAACCTCCAGCAGAAGCAGGCTGAGCAAGGGGCGACCATCTGCTGCCACTTGTTTGGTGGTAAGGAAGAGAAGGAGAGAAGAAAAGCTGGAGCTGTCAATCAGACCTCAGACTGCAGCGTCTCCACCCTGTCCTCCAGCTCTGCCCGGAGCTGCTGCTTCTCCTGCGTCAGACCCTCCAGGATCTCCTGCAGCTCGTCTCTCTCCTCGCTGACAGACGTCACTCTGCACAGCAGCTGCTCCATCTCCTTGGTGGAGGTCTGAGTGCTGAGCTCCTTCTCAGACAGCAGACTGTCTCTCTCTGCTCTCACACTCTCCAGCTCCTCAGTCAAAGCCTTTACCTGTCAGTGAAAACAAATCTAAACAACCCCAACAAGCTCCACTTGCATTTTGAAGCACACAAAAGAGTTTCATCTGTGCATTCTGTAGTGCTGCAATGTGTCTCTTCCCATGCGCTTAATACTTTATTACTTAAAAGAGGCAGCAGTCACTGAAAAATTGACTTTTATAATTGGGTGTGGTTAGAGATGACATTAGATCGGCACGTCTTCCTGACCATGTATGCTACACAGAGAAAAGCACCCCGAAAGTCTTACATGTGTTTGCAGTTCCACCAGCTTATCATTGTGCTCACTGGGAAGCCCATCCAGCTTCAATATTTGTTCTTCTAGCTCTTTGATCTGCTTCTTTTGCTCGCAGTTTTGCCCCAGGGCCGTCCTCAGTTCCTCCTGATTCACAATCATCTGTAAAGAGAGAAAAAAAAAAAGTTTGCTTTGACACAAACCTGATAGAAGAACAGTAGCACGAAGGAAGAGTAGAAACAGCAACTTACCATTTCCACATTTTCCTGCAGGTCCGTCCTGAGCTGGTCTCTCTCAGCAGTGAGAGAAGCCAAGGTAGCGCTCAGCTTCTCCACATCCTCCGATTCCCTCTGAAAGGTCGTCATCAGGAGAGCCTCTTTCTCATCTCGCACACACTGCAGCTCCTGTGATAGCCTCAGCATCTGTCACATTTCCAGCTGTCACAACTCTGACTCGAGGACTCATTTAGAGTCCACACACTGAGCAACAAGCCTGAAATAACATATCACTTACCTTCTCCCCTAAATCAGACTCTTTCTGCTCATGAGCTTTCACGAGATCTGAATTCTTTTCTTTTTGTGTTTGAAGCTCATCCTGAACAGACGGTAGAACAACCTGCATCTCAGCAACCTGGAAAACAAGCAAACATCACGTAACAACTTATTCGTGTATCGCTTTTCACACATAAAAGTCACAAAGTTCAAGTACGACACAGTTCATATCCGAACAGATAAACATGTCAGCAGAAGGCCTCATAAAACGGAAAATTGTTTTTTTCATGCTCATTAAGGTGAGGTTAGAGACAGCAGTCTAAGCAGAGGAGCCAGACCTCCCCCTACAACTTCAGTAGCTGTTGAACGGATAAAGTTGTGGTGTACCAGTGGTTAGAAATACTATTATTACTTTAGTACTACTTTAACACAAAGTCAGGGCTGACCAGGGACCATTGCTGCGAGTCACACTGCGCAGCATAAAGGCCCTTTGACAACAGACGTGGCAGCTAAGGATCCAAAATTTGTTGCACTGACCGCTGCACTCTGTCGTTTTTTGCACCAGTTCTAAGTGTACTAGATGCGCCTGCTCCTTGTCGTTTCAAAGCATGGATCTCTCCGACTTTATATCCTCTACAAGAGTTTGTGTTGTATTATCTTTAAATGTTCAATAAAAACATGTATCGCACATTCACAACGAAGAAAGCTTTGTAACTATCCCGACCAGTGAAGAGTGTGTCATTTCCACAATACAGCTTTCCCTCTGAAGTCCACAGAGCTGTTGAAAAGGCTCTGGAGGTCCCTGTGTAAGCACGTAAACCTGTGACATAAAAATTAACTGAACTCTGACATACACAGAATGTTTTCATTCATGGTGATGAAGGAAAACGCTGGCACGTGAAAGGGCATTTACCCTTCCAGGACCTGAGGTAAAGCAGTAAAGCACCCCACTAACAGCCAAACTCATCTGTTCTCTGATTGGATTGTTAAGTTTGTGATTTACATGACATTGCCCAATCAGCTGAAAGGAGGAAAAATTGGGTCAAAATTTGTACTCGTAAGTTGAAACTCACACACAGCCAAGGAAGTTGAGTGCAGAGTTTTACACATATAGTTTTTTTGCTTTGTATTTGTAACCAGACCTTAACAAAAATAAATAAATAAATTTTGTTAAAATTCCATTTAACAGGAAGAAAGCAGAAGCAGGCTGAGGGAGGGGCGACCAAGGGGTGAGGGGAAAAGAAGAGAAGAAAAGCTGGAGATGTCAATCACAGACCTCAGACTGCAGTGTCTCCACCCTGTCCTCCAGCTCTGCCCGGAGCTGCTGCTTCTCCTGCCTCAGACCCTCCAGGATCTCCTGCAGCTCGTCTCTCTCCTCGCTGACAGACGTCACTCTGCACAGCAGCTTCTCCATCTCCTCGGTGGAGGTCTGAGTGCTGAGCTCCTTCTCAGACAGCAGCCGTGCTCCTTCTGCTTCAGCCATTTTCAATGCATCGGTCAGAGTCCTTATCTGTAAAAGACACGATTGGCTTTTTCACTTAAATGAAATGTCATTGATATTTAAAGAAGCAAGATAAGACATGAACCTGCTGATTTAAAGAACACAGGCAGATCAATGACCCTGTCTTTCTACACAAACAGCTCTCTTGCACTGAGGACACCCTAAAACTAAATGTCATTAACATGAGAAAATCCAAAAAGACTACAAAAAGTCCATGAGACAGAAACGCAGCGAACGTTGCAGTACAACACCTCCCAGTGAAAACTAGGATCTACGGACGCTAGAAGACCGACTGAGAACCTCCTGAGGTCAGAAAGTATTGTATTGCTGTTAGCAGCGTGGAATAAGACAGGGACACGTTCGTCACCAGTATTATTCCTTACGGTCACATGGATGGTTGGAAGGACAGAAAGACATCAATCCAGTGGACAAGGTGAATACCAGCGAGTCTTACAGTAATAAACAAATACATGAAGTACAGTAGAAAGCTACTATTGGACTGCTACACCTGTATCAGTCCTGGGAGAATCACTACACTTATTATGTAGATGGATCAGTGAAACTAACAGTACGGAGTCTGAAAATCTGATGAAGCTAAAAAACACCAAAGATGTTGTTTTTCTCTGAAGGAGCACATTTTCCTCATCACTGTGCATGTGTTGAATTTACTTCTTCATCACAGTTGATGTGGACAGTAATATGTGTCTATATAACACACATCACTGTGTAGAAAAGAGGCTTCATATTGTACCATAAAGACAGCCGCTATCAACATGCAATTGGCAAAGGACAGAAGGAAAAACTCCCTTTTAACAGGAAGAAACCTCCAGCAGAAGCAGGCTGAGCAAGGGGCGACCATCTGCTGCCACTTGTTTGGTGGTAAGGAAGAGAAGGAGAGAAGAAAAGCTGGAGCTGTCAATCAGACCTCAGACTGCAGCGTCTCCACCCTGTCCTCCAGCTCTGCTCGGAGCTGCTGCTTCTCCTGCGTCAGACCCTCCAGGATCTCCTGCAGCTCGTCTCTCTCCTCGCTGACAGACGTCACTCTGCACAGCAGCTTCTCCATCTCCTCGGTGGAGGTCTGAGTGCTGAGCTCCTTCTCAGACAGCAGACTGTCTCTCTCTACTCTCACACTCTCCAGCTCCTCAGTCAGTCTCTGAATCTGTGCAGAAACACAAAGGTCAGTCCAAACTGTGACTTTAAACAGTGAAAGACATGAAAATGGTGGCTGAAAGTAACAAAGGGATGCACACAGCAAAACTGCTGACTGTACACATGTTAGAATAAAGCAAGTATAGAAAATTAGTCCTGCCTGGTCTGTGAGCTCTTGTAACTGGAGGGTACTGCCTGCATCTTTGCCACTGTTCGGCCTGCTCTCCAGGTCTGCCTTTTCACTCTTCAGCAGGTTGATCTCATCTTGTAGGATTCTGATGTTCTCCTGAGAAACCCTCAGCTCCTCCTGGTTCTCAGTCATCTGAAAAGTTTTACCCACCATGACTATACAAGTCGACTCTGATAGTTTCAGCAATGCTACGGTTATTCCATACACAGAGAGAAGTATTTTTCTCTCACTGATGAATTCAAAAACTTCTGTAAAACATTGGCTAGAAATGCACGCGAGGACTCAACGCACGGAACAGGCCATGTGTGACACTTGTAGGGAGGTGCAGGTTACAAATAAAGGGTTTTATTAATGGGTTTGTGGTTATGCCGTAGCTATGGTATAATTTCTTTCTTTGTACAAGATTCCTAGAATTTTTGCCACGAATAACTGATGTTTTAAGAAAAACCACATTAAAATTTCTTCTGTTAAGTTTTTTTTATATAATAGTTAATATGCCTTATTGATCACGATATTGCAGAGATTAAAACACTGGTTTGAATTGTTGAATGGACTTATTCTTATATAGCGCTTCTCTACTCTCACGGAGTACTCAAAGCGCTCAAGACAATATGCCTCATTCACCCAATCACACCCATTCTCACAAACACTTTATCTACACTTAGTGCTTTTCTAACGACATTCATACTCCGATGGATGCATCGGAGAGCAAGTTGGGGTTAGTATCTTGCCCAAGGATACTTGACATGCAGACTGGAGGAGCCAGGGATCGAACCACCGACAGTAGGTGACCTGCTCTACATCCTGAGCTACAGCCACCCTGCGGTGTGTGCAAAGAGCAGGGACTTATCAACGCGAGCTTATGACCTGCGCTTACTGGGAATTCCTCGTTCATGGGAAATAATTGCAATCCTCAATCCGTATCACGAGTGGGGTTCAACGGGTTACCCACGCCTCTCGGCGAAGGGTAGACACATGCTGATCCACTCAGTGTGGCGCGCGTGCAGCCCCGGACATCTAAGGGCATCACAGACCAGTGATGCAGTTGGCTCTACTGCTCTGGTTTAGGATGGATCTCTTTAAATCTGATATCCCGTCACGATGTTAGAAATTCAAACTCGATAAAGATATCAGAGAACTCACTAAATTAAGGTTGGGCGATATGTAAAAATTTTCCAATTGACAATCGTCAGTCCAATAACCGTTGATAGGTGATATACTTGTGCAGGTGCAGACTTTTTGATAGGCGGAGCAACGTAACAATGTACAGGCTCATATATAACTGACTGACAACTGCTTAATAGGTTACTAGCTTAGTTTTACTGATCTCTAAAATTCCTCCTGAAGTGTTGACAAACGTCAACTACTTCATTAGTTAGTGAGGGGAGGAGCTCTGTGTCTGTGTGAACTTGTGTGTCAGCTAAAGGAGGCAAAGGCAACACAGTTGATTTCAATACTGCTGCAAATAGTGAATGACCACCACCACATCGTGGTAGAGGGGTATTCTAGTGATGCCAGGAGCAATCTCGTTGTGAGCATTGACGCTTGCAGCTTGGCATTTCTCTCCATGCCAGATATTCTTGGGCAAGACACCAACAAGAAGTTGCTATATGAATACATGTGGATATTAGATAGACAGCACTTAAGCATAGAAAGAAAAAAGTGCTTGTATGAATGAGGCAAGTTGTATGAAACGCTTCGAGTGCTCAGAGTAGAACAGCGCTACATAAGGACCAGTCCATTTAACATTTGCTGATGACATACCAAGTATGAATCTACTGAAACAAACAATATATCCAGTGAGATGCTGTAGGTCAAATACAAACACAAAAGTAGTGCACGTTGATTTGACATAAAAGCAAATTGTTTTTATATAGCGCTTTTCTGTTTTATAGTGTAAGGTAAATACTCTACAATAATACAAAGAAAACAGAGAACCCCAACAATCACATGACCCCCTATGAGTGAGCGCTTTGGTGACAGCTCTGCTGGAGGTTTCTTCTATTTTAACATGAAGTAACCTCCAGCAGACCCAGGCCAGTAAAAACAATCTTCCATCCATCCATTCGCTTCCGCTTATCCTTTTCAGGGTCGCGGGGGGCGCTGGAGCCTATCCCAGCTGTCATAGGGCGAAAGGCGGGGTACACCCTGGACAGGTCGCCAGTCTGTCGCAGGGCTAACACACAGGGACAGACAACCATTCACACTCACATTCACACCTAGTGACAATTTGGATTAATCAATTAACCTATCCCCACAAGCTGCATGTCTTTGGACGGTGGGAGGAAGCCGGAGTACCCGGAGAGAACCCACGCAAACACGGGGAGAACATGCAAACTCCACACAGAAAGACCCCGGCCTGATGGTGGAATTGAACTCAGGACCTTCTTGCTGTGCACGGTGGCACGGTGGTTAGCACTGTTGCCGCACAGCAAGAAGGTCCTGAGTAAAAACAATCTTTAAATTTAAAATTGATTTAAAATCCAACAATTAGGATCATGATGGTGATGGCATACAGGGCAAATATCATACTGTGTGCACTCATCAGAAAACCCAACCGGGCTAAAAAAATAAATACTGAAATTCTGATTTTGGTTAAGCTTTTACCATCTCCACCCTGTCCTCCAGCTCTGCTCGGAGCTGCTGCTTCTCCTGCCTCAGACCCTCCAGGATCTCCTGCAGCTCGTCTCTCTCCTCGCTGACAGACGTCACTCTGCACAGCAGCTGCTCCATCTCCTCTGTGGAGGTCTGAGTGCTGAGCTCCTTCTCAGACAGCAGACTGTCTCTCTCTACTCTCACACTCTCCAGCTCCTCAGTCAGTCTCTGAATCTGTGCAGAAACACAAAGGTCAGTCCAAACTGTGACTTTAAACAGTGAAAGACATGAAAATGGTGGCTGAAAGTAACAAAGGGATGCACACAGTAAAACTGCTGACTGTACACATGTTAGAATAAAGCAAGTATAGAAAATTAGTCCTGCCTGGTCTGTGAGCTCTTGTAACTGGAGGGTACTGCCTGCATCTTTGCCACTGCTCGGTCTGCTCTCTGTCTGTTCCTTCTGAAGCAACAGGGCATCTCTCTCTGCTCGGGCGCTGTCAAGCTCCTCAGAGAGGTTCGTTAACTGTTAAAGGGAAGGTACCCAAATTATTGTTGTAGACAAAAGAGCAAATTTAAAAACTTCATTCATTAATGATGAATGTTATTCAATGTAAGTCACCTGATGTGTAAAGTCCACTTCCTTTTGCTCATAGAGTTGCACACGATCACACAGCTTTTGTTTCTGCTCCTTTAGCTCCTCTTGAAGACACTGAAGTAGACAGTTGGTCTCCTCGACCTGAAAGTAAGAAAACATGGACAATTACCTCCAAGGCACAGCAGGTATCCAGCTTAGTGAAACATGTTGCAGGGAACAAACCTGTAGTTTCAGCTGAGCCTGCGTTTCTTGACCAACTCTTTCGAGATCGCAGTTTTTATTTTGTTCTTTGAGCTGCTCTTGAAGGGAATGCATGAGACTTTGAGCCTCAGCAGCCTAAAAATAAAAGGGGAAAATAAGGTATTTGTTCAACAAATGAAAGACAAAATGTTTGACACTCCCAGTGTGACCAAAAACAAAACCCTCACCGTGACTGTACTACGCTGCAGATCACCCTCCAACTGGCTCTTCTCCTCTGTGACAGCCTGCAGAGCACCCTGCAGCTGCTCAATCGGGGAAAGGAAAGAGCAAGGTTTTTGTTTATTTCTTGCCCCCGAACAGGCAGGTTTGCATGCTGTTTGCTAAGTGACATTTTTCTTATTGTCAAAAAAATCTCAAGATAATGTTTCAGTCTACTGCTAAGCAAACACATGCCTGTGTTTAAAAAGGGGGTGGAATCAATAAATAAATGGACTGATTACAAACCATCTCCACCCTGTCCTCCAGCTCTGCCCGGAGCTGCTGCTTCTCCTGCGTCAGACCCTCCAGGATCTCCTGCAGCTCGTCTCTCTCCTCGCTGACAGACGTCACTCTGCACAGCAGCTTCTCCATCTCCTCTGTGGAGGTCTGAGTGCTGAGCTCCTTCTCAGACAGCAGACTGTCTCTCTCTGCTCTCACACTCTCCAGCTCCTCAGTCAAAGCCTTTACCTGTCAGTGAAAACAAATCTAAACAACCCCAACAAGCTCCACTTGCATTTTGAAGCACACAAAAGAGTTTCATCTGTGCATTCTGTAGTGCTGCAGTGTGTCTCTTCCCATGTGCTTAATACTTTATTACTTAAAAGAGGCAGCAGTCACTGAAAAATTGACTTTTATAATTGGGTGTGGTTAGAGATGACATTAGATCGGCACGTCTTCCTGACCATGTATGCTACACAGAGAAAAGCACCCCGAAAGTCTTACATGTGTTTGCAGTTCCACCAGCTTATCATTGTGCTCACTGGGAAGCCCATCCAGCTTCAATATTTGTTCTTCTAGCTCTTTGATCTGCTTCCTTTGCTCGCCGTTTTGCTCCAGGGCCGTCCTCAGTTCCTCCTGATTCACAATCATCTGTAAAGAGAGAAAAAAAAAAGTTTGCTTTGACACAAACCTGATAGAAGAACAGTAGCACGAAGGAAGAGTAGAAACAGCAACTTACCATTTCCACATTTTCCTGCAGGTCCGTCCTGAGCTGGTCTCTCTCAGCAGTGAGAGAAGCCAAGGTAGCGCTCAGCTTCTCCACATCCTCCGATTCCCTCTGAAAGGTCGTCATCAGGAGAGCCTCTTTCTCATCTCGCACACACTGCAGCTCCTGTGATAGCCTCAGCATCTGTCACATTTCCAGCTGTCACAACTCTGACTCGAGGACTCATTTAGAGTCCACACACTGAGCAACAAGCCTGAAATAACATATCACTTACCTTCTCCCCTAAATCAGACTCTTTCTGCTCATGAGCTTTCACGAGATCTGAATTCTTTTCTTTTTGTGTTTGAAGCTCATCCTGAACAGACGGTAGAACAACCTGCATCTCAGCAACCTGGAAAACAAGCAAACATCACGTAACAACTTATTCGTGTATCGCTTTTCACACATAAAAGTCACAAAGTTCAAGTACGACACAGTTCATATCCGAACAGATAAACATGTCAGCAGAAGGCCTCATAAAACGGAAAATTGGTTTTTTCATGCTCATTAAGGTGAGGTTAGAGACAGCAGTCTAAGCAGAGGAGCCAGACCTCCCCCTACAACTTATGCAGGGTAGCACAGGTCAGATCAGGCCAGTCGAGAGATGGAACCTTTGCAGCGTGTCCTGGGTACACGCTGGGTTTCCTCTCAGTAGGACCCAGACCAGCTGAGGTGACATCCTTGTCACATGCCTGAAGTGCTTCAGCTGGTTTCTGTTGATGCGGAGAAGCAGCAGCTCTACTGAACTCCACCCCAGTGACTGAACTTCTCAACCCATCTCTAAGACCCCTGACAACATGGCCCCTGAGTTTACCGCGACCCACAAACGCCTCCACCGCAGTAAAGGGGCAATTCACAGATACTCCAGTGTTATCTGGTTGTCCTACATTTCTTACAGAAACACTGACCACTCTCTCACCTTGTCCACGTGTTCTTGCAGCTTCAACCTGAGCTCGTCTCTCTCTGCGGTCACAGATGTTACAGCAGAGAGCAGCTTCTCAGTCTCCTCTGCAAACCTCTGATCAGCAGTGCTCTGCTCGGACAGGAGCTCGGCTTTCTCAGCTCGCACACACCGAAGTTCTTCATTTAACTGGCTGATCTAAATAAATACATACAATTCTGTTTTTGTCATAGCTATACGAATCACAGTCTTCAAGACACTCACATGTGCAGTTGAATGATATCAGCTAAACTGTAAAACTGTATTATCGAATGATTTTAACTCTTTTTCTGTTGATGGGCTAATGGTTGCACATGTGCTCAGCTGTAATAAGAGCAGCTATCAGTGTCATACTTGTTCTTGAAGCTCTCTGCTAATCTCCTCCTCAGTGCTTCTGGAAGCTTCGCTGTCAGCAAGCTTCTCCTCCAAATCCTTGATCAGCTGCTGCACGTCGCTCAGTTTTCCTTCCAGAGCTCCTCGCTTCTGCTCACTTCCTTCAAGCTGAAGGAAAACATGACAACAGTTGTTTGGAAAGCCGTACGTATAAATGTTTTGTCTCTTCAGACATAACTGCACACACTCTGGAGGACTATTAAACTTGATATCATTTTAAGCCCGATCCAGAGATTTTTATCCTGGATGACTAAGCCGACACTTCCCTCAGCCTCACTGAAAGGCTTTCCCTTTGACTCATTATTATATCATATATATTATAGCATGCCTGTACTTCCCAATGTTTCCACCAAGTACACCAAACAAGTACCTGTCCTCACATTTGTCTCAGCAGCTGCAGCAAATGAAGAGCCTAGTAGCTGCTTCACTTTCTATTTGAATAACCTCTGGTGCTAGTTATGACCCTCTGCAAACGTGCTCATGCTCCCCTCCCCCCCAACTGGATGATGTCAGATTGGCTTTAGAGGATATTTGGGCCTCACCTGCTTTACCAAGGCGTCCACTTTATCTGGGAGAGTCTGACATACAGCCAGCTCATCTAGCTGAGCTCTCAAGGCCGTCTCCACTTGACGAGATGCCATCAACTCTTTATTTAGATTGGCAACAGTTCTCTCAAGCTCTATGCTGTCAATCAGATCTGGAGAAGGAGCAAATGTTACGAGGGGCAGGTTCATATGATGGGCTACAGTCTATAAATGCAACACGTGGAAACCTACTTTTAGGCACATTGCCATCTAGCAGAGTGGTGAGCTTTGTGTTCTCATCAAATGCGACATTCAGCTCCTTCTGGAGATCGCTCTGCATCTTTCTGTAACGCGACTTCTCCGTCTCCAGCTGAAAACGCAGACTCTTCACCTCCGCCTCCCTTTTCTCGTGGCTGGCAGTCAGAGTCACCTGGACGAGATCGTCAAGAAGCAGGAGATGCATTAATCGCTTACAGCTGCCATTGTTGGCTCACACTTCCTGGAATATTTTTAAAATGAGGATAGATGTGCTGCAAAAAATAATTTTTTGTCATTTTAGTGTTTGATTACGTACATTCGTCTCCTCCAAAGAAATGCTGCGACTGCGTAGGACAGCCCACTCCTTCCTTGTGTCTCTGCTCAGCAGCTCTGCATCATCCAGAGAGCGGCGAAGCTTCAGCACCTCCTGCACCAAGTCCTTACTGCCCTGAAACAAGAAAACATGAAACAGTTAGCTTGTGCCGTCGTTAGATTGCTGCTGCTTTCAGCACCCTGTCAGCGCTCAGATGGGACATGTTAGCCTGCTAAGACTGTAAGCAAGTGTAAGCAAGCACACTTTGCGTGAGAACAGCCTGGTTTATTCCAGGTTAATGACATAAACTGATATTAAGCACAAACACACACAGGTAAGACTGCAGTGTTGGCCCATCTACTGCTCCAGACAGACGGATGCTCGGAGCATGAGGTGCTACTGGTTTCTAACATGTGACAGATGCACACTCCACAGTGTCACATCTACATGATGTTCCACGTCACGTGACTGAAATACTGGCCGTACCAGGTTCTCCATCTCATGTGCAAATTCTGTTTCCTTCTTCTTCAGCTGTTCAGTCAGAGTCTTGATTTCATTCTTTCAAAAGAAGAAACAAAAGCTTAAAGACAAATCAAATCAAAATGTTTCGGATCAATAAACTCTACACGTCCACTCATCTTACCTGGAGCTGCATACGCTGGAGTTCAGAGGACTCAACAGCTTTCTTCAAGCTTACAATTTCATTTTCTAACTCTTTCTGCAAGTTTCCAGAAGCAAAGTGAACATAGTGAGCTGAAAACATATTTGATAAACAGCTCTGTGAAACTTTGTTGTCAGTGGATCTGAGAAAGTTCTCCTCGTTACCTCGTTCTCCTTCCTGCACCCCTCTTCTAGAGATTTGAACTCGTCCATCTCCCTCTTCTCCTCTAGCTCCTGTAATACAGCAGCCTTCTCTGTCTCCAGACGCTCCATTTGCTCTATAAACATGCCCAGCTCTTGTTTCAGGTAGTCTCGCTCTGCAGCCACCAAGTCCTGTAACAGTATCATCCAGTTTAACACCGCTGTAGTTTCCACGTCAGACGACTGCACTGAGGGCTTTCAACACTCCAGTGTTAAGAAAGCTGAGAGTGAGTTTAGAGCAGTGTGCAGCATGGGCTTTGTTTGAAAATCCGTCTGCCCCTTTACAGAAAGCATAGGATATTTGCTGTAACTGCTCTAACCTCTTCACCTTACACTTACCTTCTCTGACGCCAAAGTTTCACAAAGCTGGATGGTCTCAGCAAACTCTTTTCTCATCTGAAAAACAGAAGATTAAGACAAGTGATGATAATGTGACGCTTGGCAGACAGAGCCCGAGTCAAACACAGCATACCTGTTCATTTGTCTCAGTGTCCACGTCACTGTGTTCTCCCAGTTGTTTCTCCAAGTCCATCACTCTCAGCTCCAACGTGTCAGCTTTCTGTGTGGCCTCCAGCCTCTGCTGAGCTTCAGTGTGCAGCAGCGCTTCCAGCGCTGCTCTCCTCTGTTCTCCAGTCTGCACTTTTTCCAGTGCTTCCTGTCTATGTTGCACCTCCGTTTCCAGCTCCAGCTGCAGCTCTGCCACTCTGCCCTTTAACACATCTAAATTTGACAGGGCCGTCTCTTTCTCCTGACTCTCCTGTTCCAGCTGCATCTCCAGACTGGACACTTTGCCTGAAAGTTCTTGCAGACGATCAGGAGACATGAAGTCTCTGGGACTGTAAAAAAAAAAAAGCAACCGGGACATGTTTATGTTACACACCAGCACACAGTGATGGCGCATGATGCGACGACTCCAGCGGCACTTGAAGTATTAGGGAACAGCTTTATTAAGTGACCGGCGCATTCCGGCTTGTGGCCTTAATCAGGGTCCAGGTGGACCTCCCCCTTTTAATGTTCCTGTACTTACTTTATATTAGCTTATTTGCATTTTGTGTGTAATTTTGAGTATGTGTTACTTTAAGACGTAGAAAGGAGAATGATGTGAAGGAGTCTTCACATCATCAGATCTTTCTCTTCTCCGTGCACCTTAGAAGTAGGTGAAGAAAAATGTGTTGCCATCTATTTGATGAACAACACAAATGTTTGGGGCTGGGGTGACACAGATCTGTCAGACCTCTCAAAGTCATGCAGTTGGTAGACTGGACTTTACAGTGTCCTTCTTCATGGACCACATGAGCTCAAACACATTCCAGTGAAGACCACAGACATCATAAACCTCTGACACTAGGAAATGGATACGCCAATTTTTTCAACAGTCTAACTCAGACCCAGAGTCCTGCTAAACTCTCAGGAGGTAGAGCAGGTCATCTACTGCCTGGAAAGGTTGGTGGTTCAATCCCTGGCTCCCCGATGCATCCATCAGAGTATGAATGTGTGGGAATGTTAGCACTTAAAATGCATTGGGTGAACGTGGCATGTTGTATAAACCGGAGAGTTAAAAGTGCTAAATAAGAATCAGTCCACTTACACCACTCTGCACCTCACCCTCTCTACAGTGATTCTGAGAAGTAAATTTGCTGCAGCTTAAGAAAACACCAGAAAAAAAAAAAAAAAAAAAAAGAGTCAAGAGTCATTGCTGCTACCATGGAAACTGTTTACTGACTTGTCAAAGCCCTTTAACAATTCAGAAGATTGCCCATTAAGCAACCAACAGACTAACAGTTCAAAAAAAGTCAGGTGAAAGAAGCAACGAACACTCACACAACGAAGTTCAGCTGGTGAGCACAAAAAACCTTTTTCCTTTTAAAGGACACAATAGGAATACCAGCACCCACTCATAAGCAACACATTTGACTCAACAACAACATTCCTTTACTACTTTTTCATTTGGCAACAGTCAGTAGCACAGGGGAATACATGGACCCCACAGAGGTTTCACAGATAGTCTGACTCCTCCAGGTTGGCACATCAATACATGTCACTGCCTGAACAGCTGCTGTGTCTCCCAGCACAATCTCAAGAAGACAGGCCGTAGAAGGCCCCTAACCCATCACGATACAATGCAGCAGTACAGACCAAGGGAGCATTTTTCCTCATTTCAAGTGGGTCAAGTGAATTCTGGACGACTGAGGGTAACCCACAGGCACGTTCGATAATAAATACAAATAAATGATTGGTGTCTGATATGGCTTTTAAGTTTGAGAATACGAGGCTTCATTGGTGACAGAACTGCTCAGACACGTACCTGTCTCCCAAGCTACGAACAGTCACAGAGCTTCGACTCATTTCCATTTCATCTGACGGCTCATCTGGAATTCCCCAGTTGGAGTCAAAGTCCTCATCGTCTGTTAAAATAGAGCAAGAATATGAAAAAAATAAAAATAACACCCCAGCAAAATTCCATCGTGGCATGAATATTCATCCTTTGTGCTCCTCGTTACCTTCACCCAGCTCCATCAGGCAGGAGAAATCTGACTGAGTTCTCTTCTGAGTGAAAGATTCTGCAAAGCTGAGATCAGAGAAACTCCCCACACAGCCAGATGGATGGCCAAGTTTTACCATCTTTCCTCCCCAGGTAACCCTGCGGCTTGGAATCTTGATAAAGAACACATGTTGTGATTAAAGCGAACATACAGAGAACTGCAGCTCATGGTTCAGCACAGTTACCTTCTGGACTGGGACCAGATTTGAGCTTGTCACAAGGAGATTGGCCAGATTTCTCTTCAGGCCCTCTTTTTCTCTCTGCAGCTGATCCTTCTCTTGGAGCAGCTGGGAGAGAACCTCCTTCTCTGTCACAGTGGTCTGCGTGACTGAAGAAACCTGCATGAGATGTGCATGGGTCAGTGTGTGCAGATCAGTGCTGCTGGAGGAAGAAGAGGAAAAGTGGAGACACTTGCCTCGAGAAGTCGTCGCTTGAGTTCTGCAATTTCATTGCGATACCTTTTGAGCAGAGCCCCATCATCTGACACCTCTGTTACGTGAGGGTCGTTCTTCATTTTCTTTGCTGTGCTTGCAAACTATTGCAAAGAAGTCACAGCAGGTGGGTTAAAGTGTTTAGCAGTTTATGTTCTCAGTGGTTCACACGTCAAAGCTTCAGCTAACTTTTATTTCACACAAACTTTATCATCTGTGTAAGACAATAAAGTTTGTACTACACAATTTCTCGTCTGAAAGCATTTTTCAAATGGATTACATAACAGTCAGTCATGTTCTCCCTACCTGTAGAGTGCTGAGGGTCTCATCCAGAGTGACCGGGGTGATGGTGCAGATAATGACAGTTTTAGCATTCCCACCCAACGAGTTCTGCAGGATGCGGGTCAGTTTACTGTCTCTGTAGTTGGTGAAACCCCTGAAGAGAAAATATTTAGGTAATATCTGCACTTTCCATTTAGTGTTCAACACAAATACACACTTAATTTTTGTTGTGGCTGAAATCGTGCTCTCTAAAAGCTTCTTTGGCCCTTTGAAAAAAATTGGACTGGGAGCACATCCTTTGGTTAGATGAGACAAAACTACAGCTCATTGCTCACAGAGACGCCGCTTATATTTGAAAATGATTTCAGTACTTTGACCATGGCCAGATGAGCTGGTCAGAGTACTTCATTAGTTTTTCTAGGTTTTACAAAGAAAGATCTCAAAAGGAAATATTCAGTGAGAAGCAGTTTTCCGACTGGTTGCCACTGGTTTAAAAACTCAAAGTAAAAATGGACAATAGAAGATTGGAAAAACATTGCCTGATTTCTGCTGCAATACCGAATGCCATATTCAATTCAGTTTTATTTGTATAGGACCAAATCAACAACTGCTACAAGGCTCTTTATATTGCAAGTCAGAGACCCTACAATAAAAAAGAGAAAAAGGCAGCAATCAGACAACCCTCTAAGAGCAAGCACTTTGGCGACAGTGGGATGGAAAAACTCCCTTTTAACAGCAAGAAACCTCCATCAGAACCAGGCTCAGGGAGGGGAGGCCATCTGCTAGTGTGGGGGGGGGGGGGGGGGGGCTGGGAGTACACAGTATGAAAACATAACACTTGGGCACCATCTAAACACCACTGCCTAGTTGAGTATTGTTGTTGAGTGTGGCTGCTTCAAGCAGGATCTCAAACCATTAAAATACTCTGGAAATGCTACAAACTCATCTCACGCATAACCATCCTGAGATAAGGTAACAAACTTGCATTAAATCGGCTCAACCAAAGAACCATCCAACACGGGACAACTTATCTTGACAAAGCTACCACAAGCTAATGGTTCAGTCACATTTTCAATATGAATGAAATAAGATAACTCTGTTATTGGAAAAAATAGGAAATAATTTGCAGTTGACAACATTGTACTGTGAGGGAAGGACAGTACTGTTACAATATCATATTTGCAGGGTGTGTGGCGTTTCCCACATCGAGTACCAAACGTCAGCTCAATTATTTACTTACTTCTGGTTTTCGTCGGTCAGTTTCTTTATCACTTGGCCGAGCGTGAACAAGCTGCGGTTTATATTACAGCCTTCTTTGAAACGTGTACCTAGGACACAGAACATAAAGCAGAAAACTGGATTGCTCAAAAATGTGTAGACTGCAGCATACACTTGCAAGGTTACCCCAAAATGATATCCAACCATATTCAACAAACAAAAAATGCTGGATTTAAATCCACATTACCTTCAGCTCCAGTTTGACTTGCTCTCTCAGATCCGGCCAGATCCACTAAATTCTGCAAGATGAAGCAAAACCGTTAGCTACCAAACAAAGGAAAGAAGACAAACCAGGCCAACAATGAAAGAGAGGTAGCCTACCAAATGAGACACAATGATGGCTCCATCACTACTTTCACCTGATGCTGGGTCGCTCCTTTCCCGGCTCTCCAAGATCTAAGAAAAAGTCCATTGTGAGAAATGCATTTCCATAGACTCCCACATGACTGTAGCTATATGCTTCTTACCATCCGGAAAATAGTGTGCGATCGGCTGCTCCGCTGGTTCATTTTTGTCTTGCCATAATGTCGGTTCTCTGGAGAGGGACGGTACAGAAAATGTATTGCTTGTTATGGCCTGTACTAAGAATAAAAAAAAAAACTCTTGGAATTCATCGCATGTCTTACTTTCTCCTTTCCGAATCCATGCTAGGACTTGTGCAGGAGATGTAACCAACTCTTCAGTCAAATCAGCCACATAGATGTTTTTCTGCAAACAGTAATCATTAACATACAAAGCTCATGTAAAACAGCACACTACACTTCATAGCATTACAGCACTCCTAGAGTCTGAGACACGTCACTGCTAGCGATTTGGAATTAACACAGAAATGCTGAGAACCAAACCTCTAAGTAGCGTTCTGAATCTAGTCATCTAAATGATCAACCTACATTGATTTGTTCTCTGACTTCTAGAGGTTTTCTTTTCCAGCTGTCGACAAGCAGGTCCGTCACAGTCTCGTTGTAGATCTCCATGTAGGACACTCTGAGAAGGAACTCCTTCTTGGGAAACTTGGGTTGAAAGAGAAGTGACCCTTTAGGATGAAAAGAGACTGATACCAACCGCAACAAATTTCGAACATGTGTCACCATTCTTACATTCTTAATGCTTTGAAAGACATCCTCCACAGCTTGAGGTATCACTCCGGGGGTGCGACTGGTCCCCATCATGGTGAAGGTCTTTCCAGAAGAAGTTTGCCCGTAAGCAAATATGGTTCCTGTACAGCAAACACAGAAAGTAAGAGAAGAAACCATGCCGCCCAACGAGGGATCAAACATCGTTTCCTGCACATACCATTGTATCCCTCGACAGTGGAAACAACCAGAGGCTTTGCAATGCCATTGTACAGCTGACTGGTCGTTTCATCAGCGGCAAACACTCGGTCTGTTAACAGAGAAAGGTTAGTGTTCGCATTCCCATTACTGTGAAACAAAACCAAAATAAATCGCTGATTTTTTCTGTATGTTTGAATACAGACCAAAGCTGAAGCTCTTGGTGGAATTTCCATCATCAATCTGGTGAATTGATTTCTCGTCAGCTTTCCAGAAAATCTGGACAGGCTCCGCATTCTCGGATGCACTCTCTTCCCTGAACAAAGACACACATTCCACACACATAAGCACAAACAGTGAGATGCTTTCTTAACAACAGGTTACTATTGCTCTGCACTGACAAACCTGTTGTTGCTTTCAATCAGCAAGGCAAGCATTATCTTAAAGAAAATCAGGATCGCTTCATGTTGTAGTGGTCAACACATTTGTCTTACATCGACAGTTTGCGTCTGGGAGTAAACAAACCCAGCCTCAGGGGTCACAAGCTGATCTACTGCTAGTGTCAGTCTGGAGCCCAGGTAAGTGACAGGGCTGAGGCAAGAGGTGCATTGAGGGTTGTGCAGAACCCATTGCCAAGAGTATTTGCTGTCTTTTGTCTAAACTGTGCATCTGTCACATAACCAATGTTAGTCAAGTGTGATTTAACCACCTGTTGTCTACTTTTAAATCAGCAAAGGGAACAGGCTGGGAGCAAACAGGCATTTTTACAATGACGGAGAACTCTCACTTCACTGCGGATGATATGAAAACCACCCTGATCCTTCTGAGCATCCCAAAGTTGGCACTCCTTGAATCAGCTCACAGCCAGCTGTTCCAGTGTTGTGGCAAAAAGCGATTGTGGGAATTAAACTATTTTAAAACACTTGTTGACCTATAATCTGTCAAAAATACATCAAACGTATTTTGAGTCAGACAAGATCAATCAATATTTGGCAAGTGTCTTTTACATATCTTTTATTTACCCGGGTAAAACATGTCACTGACATTAAAAATACGTTTTTCAAGAGAGATTTAATCTGGCCAAGAGGGCAGCAGAAATTGTAAGAAATATTACATCACATTTCTATAAGCATATTTTAGTGAGCAAAAAAAGACTTGATTATAATGTGGGTACAACGAAGCCCAGTCATAGAGATGAAAAACAGCTCGTTTCTTTACTTTATATATAATCCATTCAGAAATCCTGTTCACTACAGTCTATTTTCTGATATGACGTAAAGATATTACACAAAACAACACACAGCAACATCGGAAATCACTTTTTAGCCCCGGTAACGCAGTCTGCTAGCTGCCTCGCACTCGTTTTCAGCTCAGAAACCTTTTTCCTTTTTTCGTGCTTGATAGTGGTATAGTGGTATGACATGTCTGTTCTGGTCGGGACACCGTGGAAACAAAGAACACTTTTTTTTCCTGGTTCTGTGAAACTTCATTAAAGAGACGCGACGTTTACTTGCCTTAACTGCTAACACTTTAGCGCCAGAGCCGACTCTGAGGTTGAAATAACTGACGAGCTCAAAATGCTACCGGGGCAATGTCAACAGTTAACGGGAATTTTTAACGCGGCGGCGCCGCCGCCGTCCAGGCTCACCTCGCAATAAGCGGACGGACTCGAACGCAGACTTTTACCGCTGACTCCTCTGTCATCTTCGCTCCTTCGGTCTATCTCCAAAAACAACACAAAATGCGAGCAGGAAGACCAACGCGCTTTTCTCAGTTTGAATTTTTGCTCCTGACGTTTGATTGGCCAACATCTCCGCGTGGACTGGACCATTTGTGTTTGTGAAACGAGGACGATAAATGATCGGCTTAGGTTTTGGTTAATGCTGTGCTTCTACAAATCCATCTTAACTGAGAGTTTGAGGTGATGGATCTGAATATGACACTCAATGAGACTAAAGTAGTCTAGTTTTAGAGACTGAACATAAAACCAACATTGACGTGCCCGACTGACGACAAACATGTGCGCCCGGCCTTGGTGGCGTCATCAAATTGCACCTTGTGCAGAACCACGCGAGAGAGTGGAGGTGTTTTGGGTTCGGTGTTTTGGGTTCGGTGTTTTGGGTTCGGTGTTTTGGGTTCGGTGTTTGTCACGTTTGGAAACCCTTGGATGGGAGATCTGATAAAGTTCGCGTTGTTCTGCTGCTAACATGTCTCTGTTTCTCGTGAATAGGTAGGTTTGCTTTGCCAGTTTCAGATCTTATATTTCATTTACAAAGTTTTTATCCAGATGTGTGCCACTTTACGGACATATCCAGATAGATGTGAACATTGTCACAGCCCACTTTATAACTCTGTCTCGCTTTGATGGAGTAAATAAAACTGGCCTGTGGAAGCTTTCGGTGTTCCAGATTTAACCGGTGTCACCAAATAACTAGTGACGGTCAAACACATGTGTGGCAGACTTGCATTTAAGCCAGCAAATAAACACTGAGTATTTCATCTGTGACATTTGTGAGGTTACCTGAAACACACTCCGTCAGTCTTATTGCTCTTGAACAATAAAATATTAAAAACTGTCTCGAGTTTACCTGGTGATATTCCCATGCACGAGGCAGCCGCGTCTTGCACATAAACCTTTAAATTAAATTAAATGTTACTGCGTGTTTACTTTCAGTCTACACCTGTAAGAAGTGCCAAATGATATACACAAAGTTCCAGAAATCCCCACTCCTATTGTTCATGATGAGTTTAATGTTGTTTTCCATAACAAAGAAATACGTCTTGAACAAATATTACACATTAATATTAGACTAGTGTTGTAACATCACATCCCGTTAGCATAGTCTGCCTCTGTCGTTTCTCTGGAAATGAATTCAGTTTGAAAATCATCTGTAATGATGACGTAGTGAGTTTGGATATCATATATGTTTAACTGTAGTCATCTGGGACAATCGTGTACTGTTTAAGGTAACTTCACAAACGTAATAGATGAAGTATTCAGTGCTTATTAGTAGGTTTGTTAGTATCGGCTCCTTAAAAGTCTACCAGTTAATCTGGAACACCCGTGTCCTGTCATATATCAGGTGTTCCAGTGCTGAATGGTCACATTAAGTACGCTGAGCTCAGACTGCTTTGAACCCGGACCCTATAACGTGATGCAGAGAGAAAATCCCTAGAATGGTCATCCCGGATCTCCAGGATGCTGACCATACGAACAATGCAGGAAGATGACAGTAGCTGTTCTTTCTGTTGCTGCGTTCCTCTGTTTGCTGCATTTCTTTAGCTTTGCATAATGTTCTTGTTGGGGGGGGGAGCTTTAATAACTTGAATGTTGCCTGTTTCTAAACTGACCAAAAATTGTCAACCTGTGACTGTGGATGTGTGTTACTCTCAGGTATCTGGGAGAGGAGGAAGATGGGAGTGTGTCAAAAGAGACTCTGTCAAAGGCATTACTGGCTAAACTGCAGAAGAAGGCTAAAGAAAAGCAGAAACGCCATTCAGCTAAGCAGAGAGAACCCCTCCATGAACACCCAGCAGAGCAGGTGGATGCCCAAAAGAAAAGAAAGGCTGACGTAGATGGTGGACTAGAGCCTCAGCAGCACAAGAAGAGGCACTCAGAAACAGTAGCTTCATGCAGTGTGGAGCCTGTTGAACAGACAAATATACAACACCAGGAGGAGATCCAGTCAGGTGGTTCTTTTAATTATCAATGCTCACATGTGATGTAGGTATGAAGACATTGAGTTAATCTTTCATTCTGCCTGTCTAAGAGCCTGGGGGTATTATCAGCTTATCACACATTTGGTACATATGCTGTAAAATACACTATATTACCAAAAATATAAAGACAGACAAGGGACTGCTTTTGGCTATATGGTATATATCCTGCTTTTTATTTCCTGGTCAAAAATAACGTGTTGCTATGCTGTGCAACACGTGTTTGGAGCGCCACAAACGCGACAGCCGGCTGGTTGGAGCAGAGATGGGCAGTGTGCAGACAAGTAATCCACGACTTTTGACAATAGACTTTTTCTGTGACGATCAAGCCAGTAAAAAGTTGCGCAAGGATAAAAAGAACCTAGTTCATGCTGTAGTCTCTGTAGATGGTCGGTATGCTTACATCTAAATGTCTGGGTTGCAGATATTTCGCCTGAATCTACCACAGACACTCTGCCTGGGTTCACACTCATAGGAGGATTTGAGATTAAACCTGTCCCAAAGGTAAAGAGAAGCACGATTACTCGCAGCGCCACAGGGCTTTTTACTTACCCTCACACTGCATTCGTTTCACAGGTCGACAGAGTTCTGCCCCAGTGGCTTGCTGAGCCTCACGTCATTCACACAGACATTAAAAACAACCTAATCTCCATCTCTGATGTCCCAGGGCTATGTGCTCAGCTCCTGAAAAACCTGCACAGTAATGGAATCCAGCACTTCTTTCCAGGTGAGGCTAGTAAATGTGTCTGCTGTGCAGCCACGTTAGAGCACAGCCTTTGATTCAAATGGAGCCGTGCCAAGGAGGCTCTTTGTACAGTAGTTTGCAGTATTACTGAAAATTGTCTTGACTTCCACAGGTCTCCACAACCATGTGTCAGCTCTCACTCATACACACACTTAACCTGAGACTAAATGTTCCTCCACAGTGCAGGCAGAGGTGATCCCAGCCATCCTGGAGAGCGCCCAGCAGGGCCTGCTGATTGGGCGAGGGGGCTATAAGCCCAGAGACATCTGTGTGTCTGCACCAACAGGCAGCGGCAAGACTCTGTCATTTGTCATCCCCATCATACAGGTGAGAGCCATGTCTTTGCTGCACCTGTAGCTCAGGTGGTAGAGGAGGTTACTTACTAACCGGTGGTTAGTAGGTGGTGGTTTGATCCCAGTCTGCTCCAGTCTGTATCCTTGGAAACCCACCCCATCGATGCATCCGTCAGAGTATGAATGTGTCTGAATGTTAGATCGGAAACACTTAGAAACAGCACTTGGGTGAATGTACAAGTTGTGTAAATAAGAACCGGTCCATTTACCATTTACTTTGTCTGCCGCCTGTTTGGAGTACACAGACAGTGAGGGTGTTTTCTGTGATCAGGTGCTGATGGACAGGGTGGTGTGTGAAGTCCGGGCTCTAGCCGTGTTGCCGACCAAAGAGCTCGCCCAGCAGGTGAGACCCTTTTCAAGCTGTTTGCGTCCCAGCAGTGCTCCACAGAGCCCGAAACTCAGCTCACATTGTCTCCTGTGCAGGTTCACAGGGTGTTTGCATCGTATGCCGAGGGAACCACGCTCAAAGTGGTGATGCTGGCAGGTCAGAAGTCCTTTGCTGCAGAACAGGCATCACTGTCAGAACACAGGTGAGAAATCGAGCTGGCTCTAACAAAGCTTCACAGAAACGCAGCGGCACATCTCCTGTCAGAGTCCTCGGTGCACATGTGCAGTGGGGAAAAGGCTGAGCTCAGCATCTATGTCATGTCCGTGCAGGTGGAACATGAGGCGTAGTCTAGCAGACATTGTTGTGGCCACTCCAGGACGACTCATTGACCACATGACCAAGAATTCAGGCTTATGTTTGGAACATCTGCGGTTTCTGGTGAGTGCTGTTGAAATCTGTCGAGCTGCAGTAGTGAGTTCACTCATCAGTGTGTGTCACACAGTGTGTGTCTGCTACTTGCTCAGGTGATCGATGAGGCGGACAGGATGATCGACAGCATGCACCAGTCCTGGCTCAGTCAGGTGATGGGAGCAGTGTACCGATCCAGAGCTGAACCCGGGTCAGTGTTCAGAAGGACAGAAGCAGCGTGCATCACATCAGCCAGGTGTGTGTGTGTTATCTACTGTGGGGTGATTGAGATGATGTCAGTCTCATTCTTGGCCACAAACTCAGGCCAGCAGAATGGTAAATGGTAAATGGCCTGCATTTGTATAGCGCTTTTCTAGTCCATAGGACCCCAAAGCGCTTTACACTACATTCAGTCATTCACCCATTCACACACACATTCACACACTGGCGATGGCAAGCTACATTGTAGCCACAGCTGCCCTGGGGCGCACTGACAGAGGCGAAGAAAAGCTTAAAGGTTACAGTTAAGTAATAAAAAGACAGCTGGGAAGGTTTTCATAGTGTTATGTTAATGTTTTTGTGGGATTTTAAGGTCTCTTGTGTTGATACAGTTTGTCAAAATGAGAAATTAACTGAAAAGAATGATGCAGAAGTTTTTAAATAAAAAAGAGTCAGTGTGCTCACCAGACACGGTGGTGTCAACCATAACAGAAGAACTCCAATTCTGCAGCCAGGACTTAGGTTCCAGGTCGGTGCTCAGCTGACCGCCTTGTCCTTGTAGTCTGTCTCCACCTCAGACGCCACTGCAGAAGCTGCTGTTCTCCGCCACGCTCACACAGAACCCAGAGAAACTGCAGCAGCTGGGCCTTCACCAGCCCCAACTCTTCAGCTCCACCTACGGCCACGCCGACAGCGCTGCAGCCTCGCCAACCCATGGGCATGACCGCTTCAACTTCCCCCAGGGTTTGACGGTGAGGGCTGCCCTTTTGACCTTTAGCAGGGAGTGGAACTAAACCAGAATTTGATTTGTACAGACTGATGTGGCTTTGTGTTTTAGGAGTACTATGTTCCCTGCACCATGAGCAGTAAGCCACTCCTACTCCTCCACTTCATCCTGCGCATGAAGCTCCACCCAGTCCTCTGTTTCACCAATTCCAGAGAGACTGCGCACAGGTAGGAGAGCTCCTGAAATCACATGACTGAAGGCTTCTTGTGCTGATTCCACCTCCCTCCTCCTCAGGCTTCACCTGCTGCTGCAGCTCTTTGGTGGAGTCCAGGCTGCCGAGTTCTCCTCTCAACTCTCCCCAGGTGACAGGAAGAAGACCCTGAAGGAATTTGAACAGGGAAAGATCCAACTGTAAGTCTGTGTCTGTGTGTGTGAGCTTGTATTCATATCTTTGTGGGGACCAAAATGCAGGTCCTAAAAAGTTTGGCCCTCAAAGAAATTTTTCAGACTCAGAATGTGGTTTTAAGTGTGCCAGTGGGCAGGAAGCATATGATATAGTAGTCCTTCCTGGTGGCAAGCGTTGCTCACAAAGCTGGCAAGATCACACTCAGTTAGCCTAATGTGCGTGCCTTTGGGCCACGTCATGAAGAACATCCAGGCTCCATGCAGAAAGGAACTGCTGACCAGGCGCATATTTCTAAATTGGCTTTGAGATCTGTGCTCACTGACCAAGTCCATGTTAAGATGTGATATATCACATTTAAACTGTCTTTTGGAAGGTTGATCAGCACAGACGCGGTGGCCAGAGGCATCGACATCAGCGGGGTCAAATGTGTGGTTAACTATGATGCACCGCAGTACATCAGAACATACATTCACAGGTGAGGCCCATCAGACCGTGAGTAATGCTTCGCTGTTGCCCTCATTGACGTGCTCTGACCCTGTGTCTGTCCTCAGAGTTGGAAGAACAGCGAGAGCGGGGAAAACAGGCCTGGCCTTTACCTTTCTGCTCAGAGTGCAGGTACATAACGTTCTTTGAGATGATGAGATGAAAGTAGCAAAGGTGCGGGTTGTTTCATGGTGTTTGTGGCTGCACACAGGAGAAAAACTTCCTGCAGATGGTGGTGAAAGCAGGAAGCCCTGGGATTCAGAAGCAGGTGGTTAAACCGGAGAACCTGAGGAGCATGGAAGGCCAATATGAAAAGGCACTGCAGAAGCTGGCTGATGTCATCAAGGTGCTACCTCAACCAATTTGTTAAACGTTAAAATGCACAAAGAGACGCTGTTTTAATTGTACCTTTGTTTGCCCACAGGAGGAGAGAGCCAGCTGATGTCTGGCCATGATGCTGGCTTCACACACGTCAGGACTTTTACTGCGGCGCATTTCATCCACAGAATGACATCACATCTCGCTGTCTCATGAGCACTCTTCATGTTTGAGCCATGTAGTCTTCTGGAAATCCATAAACACATGCTGACTTTGAAGAGAAGCAGGAATTATAAGGCGATAAAACATGCACCATTTCAAGAGTTTGCCAAGAGAACTGAAAGACGTGGCTTGTTAGTCTGCTGTATATCAGACCACACCTGGAAAAAAACCTTCAGAAATCTGAGCAGGAGGATGGATCAGGGTGCTGTTCTCAGCGTTTGCAGTTTACCAACATGTGACACTGTTCTACCAAAAGAGCTGCTTCAATTACATGCATCGTAGGTCAAAGCTGGCTGGGAGCTGCTAATATATTCTTCAATTATAATCTTGTCGATTTACTGGCAGACCCACAAATCTTATCCTCATAACATCCACGTGCACTGGTAGATGGCACTGTGTGCATTGGAACACATTAAATGTAGAAAAGTGCCATTATACTTCCTGTAAAGGTTGATCTTATTTAGTTTCAATGTGGCTGAAATTCTCTCTTAATGCCTTTCAAGCTCAGTGCTCTTTCACGGAATATAAATATGAGCTCGAGCTCTCTTTGCACTTTTTATACAAATCAATGGATTTAAATGCCCCTTTTCACAAGTATAATATACTAATAAAAGGGAAACGGCTGAAATTCAGAAGTGTCATTTGTAATTTGGGGTATTTATCCAGTTTTTCCATAATGTTCAATAAAACGAAATGATTCATGTGATGTGTTTGCTATCTATACAATATATTGTTGTAGCACATGGTAATGCATTAAACCTGCAGTCTTTCTAATGGCCACCAGGGGGCAATTAGATGTGGTTGCAAACAAATATTTGAGGCAATGAGGAAATGCATATATATGCACAGACTGGACAAAGACTAGCAGATGTATGTATAACACACTTTAATGTACACACACACACAGGTGTCCTTGTTTGAGTCCAGTAAATGCGATGTCCCCACACAGACACACTCAGTGATGAAGGCTGTGCTATCAGTCCCACTTGGATGATTTCCTCCTCGTGGTTCTCTCTCCTTCGCTGTCGATGGCCTCATACAGCTGCTGGTCATTTTCCTTCATTGCGTGCAGGTAGCCCAAGTAGCCCACACATAGCGTGATGCTCAGCAGTCCAAAGGCCATCACAGGTTTATTCTGCAAAGTGAAATAGAGATGTTACTGAGTGCGCTCCAGTCCATGCTTTGTGTGAGGGCTGAAGTTCATACTGCTGGTAGAGAAACAACAGGAGAAACCTTTATTACAGTAGTCTAGTACTGCAATTGTTGGTATTGATACCTTGAAAATACTGGGCCAATACTGCTGATACCAGTACCAATACTTTATACTATGAAGAGAGCTTCTGTAAGGGAGAGTAGTGTCATGGTTTAAGAGATGGATTAGGACTCAACTTTATTGTCATTACACATGTATAAACACAGGGTAACGAGTGAGCAAAGAGCAGATTATATACAGATAATCTGTACATTACTATACAGAGAGCAAATATACAGATGTACTATAAACAAATATACTTTATTCATAGTCAATTTGTCAAATTCTCAACACATTTTAAAATTGTATTGAAACTGGGTTTAATGGCTACTTGGACTCTGAATGTGCCTGTCAACAAAAAAAATATCTTAGGACATTTTTCGCAGTGGATGTTTGAGGGGTTTTTTATGAACAAAAACAAAATTGTGTATTTAAAACTAATCAGAGGCTCCAAACTGAGCTTAAATAATAGAAACAAAGCATCGATCCACAACTCCAGCCTCTCTCACCACCAAGCCCCCCCGCAGTGCAGCAGGCCGGACACAGTCCGTGTCACTTAGAGGAGAAGAGCTAGTTCACATTCCAAGGTAATAACAACTCATTGGCCTGCAGCTCTCTCTCTCTCTCTCTGTGTGTGTGTGTGTGTGTGTGTGTGTGTGTGTGTGTGTGTGTGTGTGTGTGTGTGTCTCACGGGCTTAATGAAGAGCTCGGGGTTCACGGCCCGGAACAGCGTGGTGGTCTGTACGCTCCTCAGCCCAGGTGTCCTGAACCCTTTTTCACCGTGACTCTCCACCCCTGCTCCAGCCTCTTTGTCCGCCATGACCTACACTTCTACACACACAAAAACAGAGTACAGTACACTTAAACCACCTAAGCTAGCTAACTAAGCGCAGCCATATTGAAAGTCAAAGACAGCCAGGAAAACAAGTGTAGCGCTTTTCCAATCACAGCGCTCTCTGTGGGTGTGAGCGGGAAAAACATGTGCAGGACGCATTCAGGAAACAGAGACTGAAAGGGAGGCTCTGATGTTTAATGCTCAACATTGTGGACATATGTTTCTTGAGTGCGTTCTTTAGTGTATTTGTGTTTATGCTGATGTTCATAAATAAAGTCCAGGCAAAAAAAAAAAAAAACACGTGACCGGAAGTATCTGTGTGGCTGTCATAATAAGAGTTGTATTTACACAAATGAAAACTGCAAACTTGTAATTCAAAATTTACTATATTTTAACTACTTGTATACAGAGATGGGCAGTAACGCGTTACTGTAATCTGATTAATTTTTTCAAGTAACTTGACCAACACTGCTTGTATGCAGCCTCCTGCTGCGAAACTCGCACTTATAAGCGAAGGAGGATGGGGCGGAAGGAACAGGAGTGGAGATTAGCCAATCAGAAAGCAGGACACCCCGCTGTCTGCCATTCACAACCACAGAGCAGAGCGAGTCACGGACAGTTTCCTTCAAAGCCCGTACTCGCTGGAGAAAGGAGAGAGACTTTGGGAAAGATGGGATCGTTATACGTTAAAAGACTAGAAACTGATACCTGTGTGATGCAGAGGAGTAGTCGTGATTTTGTTTGAATGCAACATACACCTGTGTAATATGTAATATGTGTAAGTAAAACAAGGCGATGTGTAGTTTGGAATATGTGAACATATGTGAATGTGTTGGTTTCCCTTGCCCTCTTTAGTTCTGTATGTAAAATAAGATGAAAATCAATAAAGAGAAAGTATTTAAAAAAAAATACTCATACTCATTAATTTCAAGTCAGATCAGTCACTCGTTATTTATGTTACAGAAACGCAGAGGTGTGAGACCAGGCGGAAGGCTTTTTGTTTTGTTTTATAAATTCAAATAATTTTCATTTTTGTCTCAAGATAATATTGATACGTGTAAGCATTTGCATGAGCTGTTTCTTTTGTTAATTATATATTTTAAAATACTTTTAAAAAATATCAAAATTTAGGCTTGTGTTTCTGAATCCATGAAGAACAGATTCTTTCCAGAGATATGTGGGCCTCATAGGACTACCACCACAAACATATGATTTAAGAGAGGCCTTCTTGAATGTTACACTGAGGGCCAGATTAGGCTGTTCTTATGTTCTTTACTTTGTTATGCCATGGGCAAAATACTATCAATATATTTTGAATGAACTCAAAGCATGATGATATTACATGCCATATATACAGTAATATATACAAAACTGCTGTGTCATATTGAGTAAGCTGTTTATTTATTATTAATTCTGCCATATAACTTTTTGGTAAATGGCATAATTTCTTACACGCGTCTTCAGCCTGCACTGCATTTTCTCAAAAACAAGGCAGCTAAATATGCGACTGGACATAGTGTCTGAAGTTCCTCTAAAACATTTCCAAGGACACTTTCACGGAAATTACATAACACCAAAGACTGCAGACAGCATAACTGAGTTTTACTGTCGCTGAGGTTACATAGTGACAAAAACATTTTTTATATACTGGCTTCACATTATAGGTGGAACACCTGTACCTGTATCTAATTTGTGTAATATACTGGGATATTTATAATTAGAGCTGTTTGTTATATTTTGTAACTTTTGAATATATTGCATTATTTAATTTAGAGTTAGTTACTGTCTTGGAGCAACTGCGACCACATCATTTACTCTGGTATTAACAAAGTATTCTGATCTCAAGATATTTATTCTACGCCACATCTTCTAAGGGATTTCTACCCAGAAAAAAGTATAACAAAAAGAATATTATGAAGTTTAGTAATTCAGAAAAATTATTAATTTATTGATTTAATTACCTTTTTAAAAGTAGTAGAGTAATAATGTAGTATTCAGTAGTATTGAAGTAAGGATGGCACACCAACATGTCTTGTTTACTGTGATTATTAATCATTTACATCTACATTTGTTAGAGCACTAAAGGACGAGAACAGCTACGATACATCCTGTCGCCTGTGATCCTAGTGGTAAAGGAAGTACTAAAGACATAAAGACCTTAATGTTGTTCACTTAATTCAACATTATTATTCCCTGAGCTCAGGTTATTGTAACATCTGCAACTGACCAACACAAAAGTCACCCAAAGTTCAAGCTCACAGCTGTAGAAAACATTCATACGTGACAAGGTGCTGACTGCTGGCATGCAGTTGAGTCATTGGTTAGGTTTTGGGTGCCCAAGTATAGTGGGGGCTAACGATACTCTCACTCAACTAGTCATGGCAGATGGCTGCCTTTGCCTGACCCTCACTTGGCAACAGTGGGAAGGGAAATCTTTACCACTGCACTTGCCTTTGAACAAGCCTCAGAAATTATCTGATAGTTGGAGTTTCTTTGTATAATTCTGGGTTATTGTAGACTCTTTACCTTACAATATAAATCACTTTGAGGCAACTGTTGTTGTGATTTTGTGCTATATGAATAAACTTAAATGAAAATGAGGCATGAAAATGGCAGCTTGAAGACTCAGGCCTTAGGTTTGATGTATGATTAATTTATCAGCAGGTAAGGAGATCGCATTCTCATCAAAGTTGCATGTTTCCATCCTGCCAGATAGAAGAGGATAGAAAGATAACACAGCTGAAACGGTGCATGTTTCCCCCCCACAATGAGCTTGAACAGGCAGCATATATTTACATTAGACAGCTCCATGGTGATGGTGTCTATCTCTGCACAAACACAGACACTCACAGGTAGGAAAACAAAACAAAAAGTGTGTGATCCAGCCAGCCACAGGCTGCTGTTATGTCTTCCTGGAAAGGTGTGGCACTGAGCTCTTACCTGCAAGTAAGCAGTGAAGGACGCGTAGTTGATACTCGACACAATCCGCTACCAGAGAGAAGAACGCCCTCCAGCACCACAGGTAAGCTATCTGCTGTTTCTTTACTGTATGACAGAAATACAACCTCCTCACTGTGTCTGTGGGTGATGTTACTCTCTGTGTTTGGACAGTTATACAATACCATAAGAGTATATCATACGTGACATTTGGGGGCATTCAAAAGGTAAAAAGCTTTTTTGGATCACTACAGAAAAGTGGAAGGACCTTTGAGAATATGTTATTAGACTTTGACAACACTTTAGCAGGTTCGGAAACAAGAAAAAGAAACTTGGTTGTATTTCCACACGTATGTGTATGTATGTGTGTTTGTTGTTTCGTGTTTAAGAATAGAATATTGCATCTGTGACAAAGTGTGATACCAAAAATTGTCAGTTGCAATATATCTTGTAATCCTTCTTTGATGTAGCCTGTATAGAATCTGCCAGTGTCCAAGGCTGGATAACCAGCTGGGGAAAGGGCGTAGGGAAGCTTTGTGCAGTTTTGAATAACTGCAAATTAGTTTCAGTGGATCACAGAGCTACTTTTACTATTATATAAGAATCATGTATCACAAGTAGTTGGGTGAAAATTTTAATATCAATTATAAATATTTGTTTTTACCATAAATGATCTTGTAATTTCCTGTAATTAATCTAGCCCCATACAGATGAGATCAGACCAATTAATCGGTAAAAATCATGTTTTTCTAAGGTGCCTCAGCCTCAGCGCTTCTTTGCAATGATCTTTCATGCGTCTGGAACTGTACAGGAGAGACAACCAGAGGCTCTCTCATTTGATTATTGGATGATGGTAGAGCACTAATATGTTGGTCCAAAATGTCCCCTTGGGGTTCAGTCAGGTTGATGGTGACTTTTGGTCCAAATCAAAGTGCAGTTAGATCCATGGGTACTTTGACACAGTTTCTGTAATGTTGCTCTAAAGTTGGTGAATTGATGTGTGGCAAGCTTTACAGTGGATCTTATACTAAATCATGCCTGAAGTACAGACTTTAGCTTAAATAAAAACGATTGCATGAACTATAGCCATTTTTATACATTATGCTTGTCCAAAAACGTATGTATATAATACATATTGCAAAATGAAAAGAAACAAGGAAACTGCATACATAATGCATGTGATTTAAAGTTAAGTTGACATCCTATGACTTTGGTTGTACATGACTACTGGTTTGTTCCCTGACAGGAGATCAAAGATGAACTGGGGTTTTCTAGAGAATGTCCTCAGTGGGGTCAACAAGTACTCCACTGGAATTGGGCGAATCTGGCTCTCTGTGGTCTTCCTCTTCAGGATCTTGGTGTATGTGGCAGCAGCTGAGCAGGTGTGGAAGGACGAGCAGAAGGATTTTGTTTGTAACACACAGCAGCCCGGCTGTGAGAACGCCTGCTTCGACCACTTCTTCCCTATTTCGCAGGTACGTCTCTGGGCTCTGCAGCTCATCATGGTGTCAACCCCTTCACTGCTAGTAGCCCTTCATGTGGGTTACCGGGAGTACCGAGAGGCTAAACACAAGCGAAAACTGTACCAGGACAAGGGGCGCATCGATGGAGGTCTTTTCTGCACCTACACTGTGAGCCTCATCTTCAAGACAGCCTTTGAGGTGGGCTCCCTGCTGGCTTTCTACTTCCTGTATAATGGCTTTGAGGTCCCGATGCTGCTGCAGTGCAGCCAGAGCCCGTGCCCCAACACAGTGGACTGTTTCATTGCCAAAGCCACAGAGAAGAAGATCTTCCTCTACATCATGGGTTGCACTTCCGTACTATGCATTGTTCTGAACTTCACTGAGCTCATGTACATTGTGTGGAAACAGCTTTGGAAATGTTTAACGAGGAAGTATATTCCCATGGAAAAGAAGATGTTCAGCCACAGCCAGCCATCTGTTTCCATTGTCAACAAGTCTGCCTCAAATGAACCCACAGCAAACACAGAGGTGTGTATGACACAGCCAGCAGCTGCTCAGGAAAACCTGCCTGACCAGTCCTAGTGGGCTGGGACACTGCCAACATCTGACACTGAAAGAACCTCAAATGAAACCCAATACAAACACACACATATATATATATAAGCTAGCCAAACGAGGAGATAGAAGTCACTGACATCAACACGAGGAAGCTCCTGACTGTATGATATGTG